CCAGGGTATTAACTGATAGGCCTCTCTCCCCAATCTCCCTCACCTTGATTTTGATCTTACTGTTCCACAGGAAAAGATTAAGGAAATTGGAGACCGTCAGCCAGAGAAGTAAGAGAAATTCTGGGGAGAAGGGTCTAGAGGGATGCAGAGGTCGGGATTTGCAGCCAGTCCTGTGTTTACTCCACGCATTTCTTAGTGCAAGTTTCCGTTCTTCCTTGGGACTCGGCTTTTCCAGCTGTGAAATGGGCATTGGACTCAGTCACCACTTAGACCCAGATCTCAGGGTTTGCACACTATCGTGGGTGTTGGGCAAGGATCACAAAACATCCTTCCTCCTTCTCCAGCCACCCTGAGGGGGTCCCAGAGGTGCCCTTGACCCCTGAGGCTGTGTCCGTGGAGCTGCGGCCACTCATGCTGTGGATGGCCAACACTACGGAGCTGCTGAGCTTTGTGCAGGAGAAGGTGATGGAGATGGAGAAGGAGGCCGACCAGGAGGGTGAGCTCTGACCCAGGCCCAGGCCTGTCCAAGCCCCCTGCCGTCCTCTGCACCTGGGGACCTGGGCTCCTGCCTGCCAGCCTCTGGTTCTCCCTCTCACCCCCAGGCCTGTCCTCAGACCCACAGCTCTGCAATGACTTGGAATTATGTGACGAGGCCATGGCCCTCCTGGATGAGGTCATCATGTGTACCTTCCAGCAGTCTGTCTACTACCTCACCAAGGTTGGCCTTGATCCTTGCTTCCTGTTTGAGAGAACATCACTTCCTGTTTGGACTATATCACATCGCTCTGATGTCACTTTCTATTTGACCTCGCAAGATTTCCTGGTCCTGTGACATCACTTCCCATTTCACCCTGGCACTTTGCTATTCTGACACCACTTCCTGTTTGAGCTTACATCACTTCCGGCCTTTCTGGCTTCTCTTCCTGTCTCGGCAACTGTCTCCTCTCACAGGCTGGTCTCACTACCTGGTTATATCACCATTTTCACTTTCTCAAGTTGCCTTTTTCTAAATCTACTCTTCAGTCACTGAAAAGTCTGATAGAGCTATATAGATATAGATAGATGAAATAGTGTTGGCACTGTCATTTAAACTAAAGGTCCTCTTTAATCGGTCCTCACTTCCTGTGTCTCACTCCTGACCTCACTCCTTTTTTTTGGTAAGGAAGATTGGCCCTGAGCTAACATCTGTTGCCAGTCTTCCTCTATTTTGTATGTGGGATGCTGCCACAGCATGGCTTGATGAGCAGTGTGTAGATCCACGCCTGGGATCCGAACCTGTGAACCCCAGGCCCACCAAAGCAGAGTGCACAAACTTAACTAGTACGCCACCAGGCAAGCCCTGACCTCACTTCTTATAGTTCTGAATTTGCTCCCTTTTCTGAACCAGAGACCTTTTCTCCCTGGAGTGCTCATCCTGCACTTTGTGCCCGGTTCCCCACCACCACTCTTGACTTTAATATTGCTGCTTGGAGTTCTCAGGGTTCCTGGCTTATGGCAGGCCTGATTCCCCAGCTGTAAAATGCAAGGGAATCTCGTGGGACAGATAGCGTCTAAGTCTCAAGCAGCCTTGATTTATGAAGCCCTTTCCTCCAAGGCTTCACTTCCTGTACATCCCCGCCAAGTGTGGTTTTGTTTCTTCTTTGGCTCTGACCTCATTTCCTCTCCTTGGCCTGATCTTACTTTCCACTGGCTAACTGCCACCCCACTCCCACTTCCTGATTCTCCATTCTTTTCCTTTCCTCCGGGAATTCTGGATAAATAATTCTTTGACTGAAGGGGGTCTCTTTGTTCAGTATCCTTTGTCCTCCTTGAGGTGTCTGCTGAGAACTACAAGTCCCATAAGACACCAAGGTGGTCTTAAAATACTCAAGAAACGTCTAGAAACCCTTTCTTAAGACTTGAGGTGTCCCAGGCCTGATGAATACTAGAAACCCATCTGGAAAGTAGAGATTTGCTCATGGAGACCCTTAGGGTGTCAAAGGTGGAATGGACTACAATTCCCAGAAGCCTTTGGTGGAGTGCCCTAGTATCTTCATGCTCTACCACACCCTGAAGCTTCCAGGGAGTTGTAGTCTGATCACTTGTTTGCATCTCTGTGTCTCCTCAGACTCTGTATTCAACGCTGCCTGCTCTCCTGGATAGTAACCCTTTCACAGGTGGGGCCGAGCTGCCAGGGCCCGGCGCGGAGCTGGAGGCCATGCCTCTGGGGTTGAGACCTACCCTGGGCGTGTTCCAGGCAGCCCTGGAACTCACCAGCCGGTGTGAGCTGCACCCGGACCTCGTGTCTCAGACTTTTGGCTACTTGTTCTTCTTCTCCAATGCGTCCCTTCTCAACTCGCTGATGGAACGAGGTAAGGGTCAGACTGAGAAGGGGCAGGGAGGCAGAGACAGGAGCCACTGAGACCCACGTCAAGTCAGGTCTCACCTCTGGGGACTCTGGAGAGCTCGCAAGCTCCCGATCCCAAGCTGAAGGATAGGAAGGATCTGGGAGGCAGGAGGACAGGGTCCACACACCCATCGCCCTTCATATCCTCCCCCCCCAGGTCAAGGCCGACCTTTCTATCAGTGGTCCCGAGCTGTCCAAATCCGGACCAACCTGGACCTTGTCTTGGACTGGCTACAGGGGGCTGGGCTGGGCGACATTGCCACTGAGTTCTTCCGGAAACTCTCCATGGCTGTGAACCTGCTCTGTGTGCCCCGCACCTCCCTGCTCAAGGTGACTCCTGACCCCTGACCTCAGACTCCCCAGCCCCACTCAACCATCTTCTGGATTCAGCTCACCTGGGGATCTCCCCTCGGACTCCATGTTATCCCGTCCCAGCCCACACACCACGGCTCATGCATTGGCAGCTAGAAGGAAGCCAGCGACAACAGTGTCCAAAGTGGGCTGCATCTGAATCCCAGTGGGCCTTATTAATAGTTTCCAGGGCCCCCTCCCTTGGACATGCTGATTCAGGAAGTTTGGTATGAGACCAAGGAACGCGATGATTAAAACACTCATTGAACATAAACTACATTTCAGAAACTCTGCTTGGCATTTCTAGCTGAATGCTGACTAAGCCCCATGAAGTAGGTTATCAATAACAGGTTTTTTTTTTTTTTTTTTTGGAGAAGGAAACTGAGAATCAGGTAGGTCACTTGCCTTCGTTTATTTATTTTTATTTATCAAACTTGTACAGAGCGTTGAATAAGCACCAGGCACTGTTGTAAGTACTTTCGAAGCTTGCCATATCGAATCCTCATAACAACTCTAGTAGGTAGCTCCTATTCTCCCCCAATTTACAGATGGGGAAACTGAGGCCCAATGACTTGCAGAAGGTAATAAATCACCAAGCTGGGATTTTTGAACCCAGGCAATCTGGGTCCAGTCTCTGGCTTTAACCACGCTGATGATGCTGACGCCAGCTAAGTTAGCTGTAGAAATTTTCACGCAGGTGCAAACAGCAGCCACAGTAGAATGATGAATCCCATGTGCACATCAGCAGCTTCCAGAATATAAACGAGTGATAAACTAATGGCCAGTTTTGTTTCTTCTCTGCCCCTGCCTACTCCCATATCCTCATTTATTCTGAAGCAAATCACATTTTTTTAAAGCTGAGAGCACGCCCTTCCCAACACGCACTTCACTGACAACCAGGCCCAGGAGACACCGTCCAGGCACACCAGTCTACCCAGTTCATTCCCCCCCCTTTATGGAGGCCCTCCCATTCGGGATTTTTCAGCTGCCCCAAAGTGACTGTAGACTTCTCACCTCGTCTTCCCATCAGGCTTCATGGAGCAGCCTACGAACGGAGCACCCCACGCTGACCCCGGCTCAACTCCACCATCTGCTCAGCCACTACCAGCTGGGTCCTGGCCGCGGGCCACCACCTGCCTGGGACCCTCCCCCTGCAGAGCGAGATGCTGTGGACACGGGTGAGGAGAAATGAGGACACAAGCATTGGGGCTCTCAGCTTTCTTCTGCCCTCAGGACCTAGGAATCCATATCCCCAGCCCCTTCCTCCTTCTGACCCAGCAGTCTGGACCCCTAGCACTCTCCTCCCCCAGGACCTAAGTGCTGGACCCTAACCCCTTTTCCCCCCAGGATATAGGAGCTCAAGTCCCCAGCTCTCTTTTTTTCCCAGGGGTTCAGCTCCCCAGCCTCATCCCCCTACAAACTACCCACCCTGACCTAGGAGTCCGGATCCCAGGCTCCTCCACTCTAGGGAATCCATAAAACTAAGTTCCTAGACCCTCCTTCCTCGCGGACCCAAGAACTCAACTACGTCGCCCGTTTCCCAGGCAACAGTGGCCTCTCCTAGTCTCAACTACAACTCTCAGGATGCTTGGGGACTCCAGGAGTCACGTTTGAGTGGACCCTGCTCCAGGAGTTGCTGGGGATTGAAGTTTTTCCTTCCTTTGGGCGTGACGCAGCCTCGGCTCTCCCCGACTCTCTGCCGCTTCACGCCCATTTTCAGAATTTAACGCCGTCTTCTTCGGTCTCACAGGGGACATCTTCGAAAGCTTCTCCTCTCACCCTCCCCTCATCCTGCCTTTGGGCAGCTCGCGCCTGCGCCTCACGGGTCCAGTGACGGACGATGCTCTGCACCGTGAACTGCGCAGGCTCCGCCGCCTCCTCTGGGATCTTGAGCAGCAGGAACTGCCGGCCAATCACCGCCACGGGCCTCCCGTGGCCACGCCTCCTTGAAGACCAATAGCAAACGAGCGCGCGAACCTTGAAAATTCCTCGGCTTCTACTCCCTGGAGCCCGCCTGCGCGCAGAGCTTTCTGGGAGTTGTAGTTTTCCCCGCATGGAATGCTGGGAGTTTGCGTTTTCGGGTAGTGGAGGATGGGACGGTGGGAAGATGGGTTTGGGATTTGAGCGCCAGGAGCAATAAAGGTATCTGTGGTATTGGCAACGCTTCGCTTGTTAAGATTCGAGAGCACTAGTGATGATGATTTTCTGCGGAATATAGCACTGGGGCCCTTGATGGGAGCGTTGGGCTCCTGCCGAGTCCGAGGGGGTATTTATAGCTACGGTCGCAGCTTGCCCTCTTGCATGTAATTCGACCCCGAAGCACTGGGGCCTCCCACGCATCTGAGGACAGAGGTCCAAGCTTGTTCTGCCAAATATCAGGCCCTCAGTCCTGCCAGTGGGAACCAGCCATTTCTCCCTTCGACCCCAAAAGCCCGTACTCCAGCCCCCTCCTCACTCAGAACCAGAAGTCCGGGACTCCAGTTTGAACTTTTCACTCCCCTGAATCCGACTCCTGCTGCTGCGTCAGGGAAAAAGCGACAGGTGGCACCTGCCTGCAGGGCCGGGACGCGACCACCTGCCCCTGCTGCTCACCCGGCGTCCCTCTCCCGGCACCTGCTTCTGTCAGTCTGCCCGCCGCTGCCCCGCCCGACCCCGTAGTCCCAGGACGAGGAGGAGGAGCAAGCCAGGGAACCCCGACGTGCGCCCCGCCCCGGGGCCTCCCAGCCCGCGCTTCTGCCCCTTCTCAGGGTCCCGGGGGGGCTCCCGGCACGCCCCCGAAAGGGGGGTCTGAGGCGGTCCCAGGCTGGTGGGCGGGGCCTGTGGCCTCCAGCCTAAACCGTGGGACACAACCCGCTGCAGAGTACAGCTGCGCCGAGCCCACCTGGTGAGAAGCCCCTGGGATGGGGAGCGGAGGGTGTGGGGGTGGGGGGCCGGGAGGAGGGTGCACCGGCCTTAACTCTTCTGTCACCTCTCTGGTCCCAGTCCCTTCCCCACAGACCGTGGTGGCTGACACCTACGCACTGCCCCTTCTTAAACGCAGGTGGCAGAGACCCTTCCATTCCCCAGGGACCTGTCAGGTCTTTTCCCCTCTTGATCAAGGATGTCGGATTCTAGTCCCCTCAGAGGATTGAGTTCCACCCTTTCACCCCCTTCTCCTTCCTTTCCTTTCATAGACCCAAGGTTCGGGCCCCCAATGCCCTTTTTCTTAGGACCCAGGAGTCCCAGACCCCAGGCCCTTCCTCCCCAGCTCCAGGAGTCTGGGCCCTCAGCTCCTCCTCCCTCAGACCCAGGAGTCTGGGCCCCCAGCCCTCTCCTCCCCCAAGATCCAGAAGTTATGGCCCAAGGCCTCTCCTATCCCTAGGTCCCTTAGGCCCTTCCCTTGCTGCGCTCATATGCAGGGGCAGCCTCCTGACCTCCAGTCTGACGCTGCCTCCTGTGGGGGCCCTGCCCTCCCCCCAGTCCAGGTCCCCATCCCAGCCTTGGCAATGACCCTGGCGGCCTCCTCCCAGCGCTCCCAAATCATTCGCTCCAAGTTCCGATCTGGTGAGAGGCTTCTCTCTGTGCGTGCAGGGGAGGGGTGCCCGGGGTCCTGGGAATTCTCTAACTCTGCGACTGTGCACGGCGGGGTGAGGTGGGAGGGGGCGGTGGGACCCACAAGGCATGCGTTTTCTGTGCAGAAGGTCACTTGCACGTAAAGGAGGCCCTAGCAAAGGGGTCGAGTTGTGGTGGACTAATGAGCGTGCAAATGGCTAGAACACTGCTCATGTGAACAGCGGGGAGTGGGCGGCTAGGGGTGGGTGTGCAGAAGGTCAGCTACTACAAAAGAAGAGGGGCTTAAATTGACACGTGTGCAAAGCAGAGGGGTGCACAGAGTGGGGACTTCAGCGTGACCAGTGTGGAAGCGTGGAAGTGTGCGTGAGGAGACAGTGAGCTCTCAAGCCTTGAAAGTGTCAAAGATTGTATTTTAGGTCCCAGTTCAGGCGGAAAGCGTGCAAATGGGTGGAACTGGAGGTCAATTCCTTAGACGGCAAAGGGTACTTGAGTGTGTATAGGAATGTGTTTACATGGTTGGGGGGTGCAAAGACACCAGTAACCAAAGAGCAAGGAGTGTGCAAAAGAGCGTGCAAAGAGCAGAAATGTGCAAAGAGAGATCCTTGCTCCAAAACTGGGGACGGAATCCTGAATGCAAATAAGTGTGTTAATGTGGCTGGGTGGGAGCCAAGACAGAGTCAGCCGAGGATGAAGTGTCAGAGACTTCAAGTGCACAAAGGTGGCGTATGTGCCAACCGAAAGCCCAGGGAAATGCATGTTTAAAGGTAGATGTGCAGAGGGGCTGACTGTGGGGGGCCCCAGAGGTGTCACAGAAGGGAGCATGTGTGTGCAAAGTGGGGTGAATTGGTAAAGGGAGGCAAAACGCAAACGGACGGGGCTGCCAAGATGGCGATTGTGCCGAGGGTGGGGTGGGCACATGCTGGTGAAGGGGGCAGGTGGAGCTGGGGGCAGGGCTGCCTCGTGCCTGCAGGCTGGCTGGCTCCTAGCCCCAGAACTCTGGTCCTTGGCACTGTGCTGGCAGGGAGCAGGCAGGAGGCCCGGGAAAGGGAGCAGGCTGCCCGCCCGCCCGCCTGCACTGGGTGTGTAAGGGGGTGGGCGCACGTGTCCTGCCAACTGCAGCTTGCCCTTCGTCTGCCAGGCCAGGCTCCTGGACGCTCCCTTCCCACCTTTCTCCTCCCATCTCCCTCCTCCCTCCACAGTCCTCCAGCTTCGGATCCACAGACGGTATCAGGACCCAAGTAAGTATGGGCCCTGAAAGGGATGGGATGGTGGCCCCACTTCCCTGGGGCACGCTGGTGGGCAGCCACCAGATATCCTGCACTGGTTCCTGAGCCTCTGTCCCTATGCCCCAGGATCCACTGAAATCCCATCCTGTCCTTTGCCGAGGACCCAGGAGTACAGGTCCCCGGCCACCCCACCCCGAGGAGCCCTGCGTCCTGCTGTTCGGCTTTTCCCACTCCAATGAAATCCATGAATCCAGATCCTGCTTCTTTAGAGAAGACAGGCGTCCCAGACGCCTTGGCACACATAGCAATCTCAGGCTGTAGTTTCAGATTCTCTCTCACCAAGAACCAGGAGTGCTGGCCCCACTCCTCTCCAGCCAAACCCCAGAAATCTCTGATCCTCAGCTGCCACACGGCTTGGTGACTGAGGACGATTCTTGCCTTTGTTGAGAATGCACATGCTGGGTCCCTAGCACCTCTGCCCTTAGATCCAGGAGTCTGGGCACCCAGCTCCCACCACTTGGGTTTTACTTCCTGGGCCTGCCCTCCCGCGCCCAGGGGCTGAGGCTTCCAGGACCCTCCTTCCCACACAGCCTTGTTCCTCCCTGCCTGGCCTGCTGCCGGCGGCCTCTCAGGCTTCTTCACTGCTTCTCCAGTCTCAGATCCAGATCCGTGGATCTCAGCCTCAGGCCCAGCTCTGGCTCCGGCCCCAGCCTTGCCCGTGGGTCCTGCTCCTTCCCTCTTCAGCCCTGGGGTCCTGCTCCCTGAGCCAGAATACTGCCCTTGGAGGTCCCTGAAGAAGGTGAGTCTGGACCAGTGTGAGGGGAAGTCCCCCCGAGAATCTAGCCTTGGTCTTCCTTGCTGCTGCCTTTTTTTGCTACTCTCTGGTGGTGCTAAGCTGAACCTATACTTTGCATGGAGCTCTGGGGCAGGAAGAAAGTGGGAACGGAGCTGGAGCATATGACATCATACCTGCTTTTTCAGGAGTCTCCCAAGATCTCCCAACAATGGAGGGAGCCCAAGCCGGAGGGGAACTTGACACACCACCAGTACATGCCCCCAGAGCCAAGACAAGGGTCCAGGACAGACCCTCAGACCGAAAGGTCAGCCCTAGCTCCTCCTGGGTCACCTCTGTGGGAAGGGACAAACTCACAGCAGCCACCTCCTAGGTATGACCTCCATTTTTGTTCTTCCAGAAGTCCAAGCCCCCAGCATCCTCCTCCATCAAACTCAGAGTCCAAGATCAGGGGAGTCCAGTCCGGAACTCCCTCCTCCCTCAGGACTCAAGACTCCAGGCCCCCAGCCCCTCTTCCTTCAGTTCCCAAGAGTCCTGGCCTCAAACCCAAGAGTCGGAGCCCCGAGTTCCTCTTCTCCCATGCACAAGAACTAGCCTCTTGTCGTTGCGCCCTCGGAGATCTGCAATCCTGGGTCCTCACTTTCCTGCATCTTCAGGAGCCCCCGTCTTTGAGGAACCCGGAATGCCTTTTCTCTCTCTGCCCCTTCTAACCTCTGTTTCCCCCTCGTGACTATCACCAGGATGAAGCCCACTCCCGTCACTGCCTCCCCACCAGGAATCCCCAGCCCCTCGCCCCCTCCACACAAGATGGAACTTCAGACTCTTAAACTGGAGGAGCTGACGGTGAGTGTGGGGACGAACTTCCCGAGCTGGCCCTCTCCCTCGATGGGGACCAGGAGCCCGGGGTCCCCAGTCCTTCCTCTCTCGGTTTCCAAAGGTCCAGTCCCGGCTCCCGCCTACGCCCCGGAGCCCGCCCAGCACGGCCTCTCCCCGCCCTCCACCCCAGGTCTCGGAGCTCCGGCAGCAGCTGCGCCTGCGGGGCCTCCCGGTGTCCGGGACCAAGTCGATGCTCCTGGAGCGCATGCGCGGCGACGCCACGCCCCGTGAGCGGCCGAAGCCGCGGCGCGAGGACAGTCCCGCTGGGGCTCGCTGGCCGCGTCTCAGGCCTAAGACGCAGGGAGCCGCCCGGCGGCCGGGTTCGGTGAGGGCGGGGCTATGCGCGCCTGAGCCAATGAGGAGAAGACAAAGCGGGACGGGGCGGGAAGTCGAAAAGATAATAGCCAATGAAGTGAGGGGGCGTGGTTAAGAGCAAAGAGGGAGGATCTTAAGGGAAGAGGAGCCAATGAAAGAATAGGGGGCGGGGCATAAGGGCGGTGTGGAGGAGCAAAGGGCGGGGCCGCGGCCAGGGGGTGGAGCCACACGTCGCGAGTGGGTGGGGTTGCGCCCAGTGGGCGTGGCTTATAGGAACTAGTGCCTTTCTTGGTTCTAGTTGAAGCCCAGCTCAGCATCTCACCAGCCGCCTCTTCCACGTGCCGCGGAAACCCTTGTGACAGCTCCGGCTCCGGCTCCAGCGCTGACCCCTTCCTCAGCACCAGCATTGGTGGCTCTGACTCTGGAGGAGGAGCTTCAGGAAGCGATCCGCAGGGCGCAGGTGAGAGGGAGAGGGCTAGGGTTCTCTGGTCAGGATCTGAGCCCGGAGTCTCAGGGTCACGCTGCTTCTGCCTGTCCGCAGTTGCTTCCGAACCGGGGCATCGATGACATCCTGGAGGGCCAGGTGGAGCCTAATGGTAAGAGCCGAACTTCTAGATTTGGGGGAGAAGGGGGCTGAGGTTCTGGACTCCTGGGTCCTAGGGAGGAGTGGGCTGGGGACCTAGACTCCTGGATATGAGGAATAGGGGGCTGGGGTCCGGATTCCTGACACTCCATTTCTTCCCCGGCAGACCCGCTGCCCCCCATTCCTCTGGACTTCCCCGGCTCCTTTGACGTGCTGTCCCCCTCCCCGGACTCTGAAGGCCTCTCATCTGTCTTCTCTTCCTCACTCCCATCTCCCACGAGCTCCCCATCCCCCTCTCCGAGGGGCCCCACAGACTCCTTGGACTGGCTGGAGGCTCTGAGTGGGGGTCCCCCGCTGGGCAATGGCCCCCCAGCCCCCAGCATCTTCTCTGCTGACTTATCTTACCCCAGTGGCACCCGGCTGTGGGACCTGCTGGAGGATCCATGCTGATGGATTCTGGGGTTTCCAGGGACTGAGACCTGGTGGGGATGGGGAGGTCACAGAGACAGACTCTCTGAGGGAGGGGTTGGAACAACCAGCAGAGCCCCTCCCACCACAGACGAAGACAACTTTCTTCCCCACCTGGCCCTGGCACTGCTGCTGATGTGCCAACCACCTTGCTCCGCCTGCCTAATCTCCATGTGATCCCCTCCATGGTTGTGTGGTTGGGGCCGGGGAGGTTTCATTTGCTGCTGGTCAGGGTAAACAAGTTGCTTGCTACTTCCTGCAGAGAACTCATGGATGTCTTTGTTCCCACCTTCTTCCCCCCTATCCCCCTGACTAGATGGCTGCCTGTTGCCGGGGAGTCTGGAAGGTGGTCTGTGCTTTCTAGATGCAGGAGAGGGGCAGGGAAGAGCAGAGAGGAGAAGAGGGAGCCAGACCCTGGCTTCTGGTTGGCGATGAGAAAGTCAGAAGCGTTGTGTCTGAGGTCAGAATCTCTTGGAAGCAGAGCCTGAGACGAGATTCACATGCCTGTGATTTATGAAAGAAATGCTTCCAGGAGGAACCGAAAAGGAGTGGATGAAAAAAGACAGTGAAGGGGACGAAGACCAGCAAGAGGGTGACTTCAGATGAAGTCCCAAACTCAGCCTGATCCCCCGGGGAGCTCTGGAGGACAAATTAAGTTGCAGAGTCTTTCCCACCTCGAGAGAAAGGGAACTGGGCCTTTGAGGCAAAGGGAGATCCCTGTTTGGGTTTATTATCACTGAATTCCAACCACCCCAAAGCTTAGAGTCTTAAAATAATAACTGTCTGTGATCACTCACAATTCCATGGGTTGACTGGGCTCAGGGAGGCAGTTGTTGGGCAACATATGATGTCAGCCAGGGCTGTGGTCATCTTAGGGCCCAACCAGGCTGCAACATCCAAGATGGCGCCCTCAGCCGTGTCTGGTGCCTTGGCAAGATGGCTATTAGGCTGGACCCAACTGGGCTGTGGGACATCTGGACTTCTCTCATTCTCTGTGTAGCCTCAGTGTTCTCCCTGTCCATGTAGTCTCTCCAACGGGGTAGCTGAACTCCTTACATGGTAGCTCAGGGCTCCCCAAAACAAGCATTCCTAGGGGAGGAAGCAGAAGCCGCCAGTCTCTTAAAGACTAAGCTTGGAACTCACAGTGTCACTTCCACCACATTCGATTGGTTAATGCAAGTCAGGCCATCCCAGGCTGAATAGGGGAGGGACCACACAAATGTGTGCATATCAGGGGCGTGGTTACTGAGGGCTGTATTTAGAGACTTGCTACTACACCCCTCTCAGCAGTCGTGGGCCGTGGGTCCCGAGAAGCGGGCAGGACATAAACTCCCGGGCACCTGAAGCCCATGGGCAGTTCTGGGGAGAAGGGCACAGGGTAAGCCATTAGCAGCAAAGCGTTTGAAAATGTAGGTATTATTATTCAGATATGGTGAGACCAACAGATCAGGAGATGATTGCCATTGAAAAGATAGTTTGTTATTCTCACAGATCCCAAAAGAAGGGGATGCGCCAAGCCATGCAGGGCCACATGGGGAAGCACCACAGTAGCCAGGATGCAGAAGGAGAGAGGGGAACCATGGGCAAGAGTCTTTATGGTAGTTTCCTCTGGAAGGAACAGACGAGGCAAGGTAAGCAGGCTTAGGATTGTTTAGTTTGACTAATGTCAGCAGGCTCTGGGGTGTAGGGGCTGTCCATAGTTGTCTGGAACCTGGCCCTGGAGTGCTTCGGCAGAACCATGGTGGTCTGGAGTATAAGAGCTCCGTAAAGGAAGTGGTTGGGGGTCTGGGCTCTGGGTCGGCTGCCTTGCCTAGGAGAGATCCACTCACAGGTAAGCCCTTCATTATCTCTAGGAATTGGCTAGCCTGGGGAGGGACAGTCCCTCCAATGTCAACAAGGCCCCAGCTGTCAAGGCACCAGAAATATGGAAAATAAAAAGGCATGATTAATGCACAAGGCACACAGTAGCTGGGAGCTGGGTGCACAGAGCTGGAAAGAGAAATCTGAAGGGACCTGGGCGGGCCACCAACAGTGTCTGCCACAGTTGGAAAAGGACACCAGACCAGTTACGGGCAACAGGACCTAGAGCCAGTGACTTTCCCTCATCTTGCTGTCAGTTTCCTCATCTGTACCTACAGCCCAGGGTGGATGAGGGTGTTCACTGAGACTGTCCATGAACTGGACCTGGCATGTGACATGTGCTAATAAACACTTATCATCGTTTTTAGCTGCTGATCGTCAATTCTAGTGCCTCAACGTGTGAAAACTCTAGTAGTCACTAGAGATCCATGATAAAAAGGGAATGGAATGCATGCTCATTTCCATGAGGCAAAGGCGGCTGGGTCTTGCAGGACCTTTCATGTTAGGCTGGAAACGTGGGAAATGGGTGCAGTCAGCCCTGGAAAGATCAGGAAGGGGTGTGACAGGCTTCCCTCTGTCTCCATTTCCCTTGAGACCCTTCTATGCCTGTATCTTCATCTCTGCCTGACCGTGTCCTCGTCATTCTCTGTCCTTATCTCTCCTCTGTCCAGAGGAGGGTGGCCTTGGGCTGAGAGCCTGCAGGGCCTGTGGGCAGCCCCAAAGAGAGTCAGGGGTGGATGCAGCTAAGGAATTCTCCGGAAGGTGGAGATTTGAAAGACAGGCGCACGCTTGGGTGGAGTGTGCAGGTTTGAACGCAGAGCCTGAAGGAAGGGCTTGGGTCCACACTCTCTGTGGCCTGTCACTTAGCCTTTCTCCAGACATTTCAGTTGCTCCCTCCTGCCCCTGAGGAGAGGGCTGGGCCACCTCCAAGGGGGCAGGGAAACCCGAGGGCTGGACCTATGGGGACGCCCAGGAAGGATGAGGTCAGACGGGATCCCCCATGGCACCATCTGCCACCCCATGATCTCAACTGAAGCAGGAAAAAGACCAAGAATACATTTGCCAAGTTACCAAAATTACCAATTGATCTTATAGACATATTCCCTGGAAGGATGCATTCGTATTCATTGGGTAGACTGGAGAAGAGTATATTTTGTTTGCTTTTCTCCTCCCCCTCCCCATCCTCTTCCTCTTCTCTCTCTCCTCCGCCATTTCTTTCTCTCTCCCTCCCTCCCTGTCTCTCTCTCCCCCTCCTTTCTCTATGTTACCACAAATCTAGTCTGCTGCTTCCAATCTCTGACTTCTATTCTGCATTTTACCTCCACCTTATTTTTCCCCTGGCTCCTCCAGGGGTGACCACTCCCCAGCTCCCAACTCCACCAACTACCCCTCGATCATCATCGTCGTCATTGAACAGAGCCCCCTGCTGGCCTGTGGAAGAATTTCGCTGGAAACACTCAGGAGTGGTTGGACGCAGAGGCAGTTACTACGATGGTTGAGAATCTCGCCAATGGGGCCAGATCGAGCTGGGTGGACTTATCTCTCCATCACTATCTGTGTGGCCTAGGGCAAGTCATTTAACCTCTCTGAGCCTCAGTTTCTTCATCTATATAATAGTACTTTCTTCTTGGGATTGGTGTGAGGAATAAATGAGTTAACCTGTATAAAGTGTTTGCAACAATGCCTGGCATATAGTGAGCGCTCATAAAGTGTCAGCGGTTGTTACTGACCCACACGATTGACTTGACGTCCATTCCTCTGCCGAATGGCTGTGCCCACCCACTTGACCACCCTCTGTGCATGCAGTTGCTTTGTCCTTGGTGTTGTCCAGCTTTCTCATTTTCAGTCTGTCAGGCTGTTACCTCCTCTTTCCCTCAAGTCTTGTTTATTCCTCCTGGTGGATGATGGGGACTCCTAAACCCAGGCAGCCTGGCGGTGAGGACTCCAGAGCCAGGGCAGGGAGCAGGCAGGTGGCTGAAAAGGGAGGAAAAGAGAGAAATGGGGGTCGTGAGCCTTCATTCCCTAGAGGACAGGCCACTCTCCTCCCCTTGGGCCAGAGAAACCAACTTTGGTGCCAAACCTGAGTTCAGACTTTGAGCCCAGCCTCTTCCTAGTTGGGGACCTCAGACAAGTCCCTTCTCCTGTCTACCTAATAGTAGACTTTGATCCTACATATTTCCCCAAGAGAAACGAAAATGTATGTCTACACAAAGGCTTGTACACACATGCTGATAACAGCATTATTCATTATAGCGCCAAACTGGAAATAACCCAAATGCCCATCAAATGTGAATGGATAATGCCACGGCAGGGAACACCTGCACAGCGGAATACTACTCAGCAATGAAAAGGCAGCGAATGACTGATACATGCAAGAACATGGATGAATCTCAGAAACATGATGCTAAGTGAAAGAAGTCAAATACAAAAGACTAAACATGGAATGATTCTTTATGGAAAGTTCTAGAAAAGGCAAAGCTAAAGTGATAAAAAGAAGATCAGTGGTTGCCTAGGGCTGGGAGTTGGGAGATTACAACAGAGCACAGAAAAAACTCTTCTATATTTTGAGGGTGGTGTTGGTCACGCAACCATAAAATTGCCAGAAATCACATTGGAGACTTATGTGGGCGAGTCTTTTTTAAGAGCTTTATTGAGATGTAATTCACATACCATACATTGCACCCATTTAAAGTGTGCAATTCAGTGCTTTGAGTATATTTAGAGTTGTGCATCCAGCACCACAATCAATATTAGGTTTTTATCACCACAGAAAAGAAGCCCCATACCCATTAGCAGTCACTGCCCGTTTCCTCCCAAACCTCTCCCCCTAGGCAACCACTAATCTGCTTTCTTTCTCTATGGATTGGCCTATTCTGGACGTTCCATATAAATGGAGTTTCATGTGGTCCATTGTGTCTGGCTTCTCCCACTGAGCATAAAGTTTCCAAGGTCCACCCATGTTTGAACACACATCAATACTTCACTCTCTTTTATGGCTAAATAATATGCCATTGTGTGGGTAGACCACATTTGGTTTATCCTTTTATCACTTGATGGACATTTGGGTTGTTTCCCCTTTTTGGCTATTATGAATAATGCTGCTATAAAATGGGTGAGTATTACTGCATGTAAATTGCATTTCAATAAAGCTGGGAAATAAAGACCGGGTAGAACTACACTGTTTTGTTTGGAGACCCTTCCAGAGATGGTGAAAGGCTAAAGAAAGGTAGAAATATGCCAACAAAAGGAGACAACACCACCTTCAGTGGGGAGAGACGCTTTCTGGGTGTTTCTGGATCCTGACAGCATCCCAGGTGTGAGTCAAAGCTTAACTCGACAGTCTCGGGATGCTCAAACCCCGCACGTAAGAAAGGACTGGCCCTTGAATAATTCCTGGCACGTGACCTCTAAGCCCTTGACACATCCTGCCTGATTAAGAGGGTCTTGGTTTACCTGGGAGATACTCTGTGTTAACAATGTGGTTGATGGTGGGGCCTTGGGCCATAAGGTATCAGCTTGACCTCTGGAGGGGCTGAAGAATGAGCAGCTAAGGACTGTCATGTGGACATCCCTACATGACTGACCTCCAATAAAAACCCTGGATACCAAGGCTCATGCGAGCTTCTCCAGCTGGTGATACTTCAAGAGTGTTGTCAGACATCATTGCCGGGAGAATTAAGTGCTATTCATATGATTCCGCTGGGACAAGATGAGTAGAAGCTTCCTGCTGGTCTCTCCTAGACTCTACCCCATGCCCCTTTTGCTTTTGCTGATTTTAAACCGTATCTTTTCACTGTCATAAACCACAGCTGTGACTATCATGGCTTTGCTGAGTTCTGTAAGAATTCATTGAAACTTCCAGCAAATCTTTGAACCTGAGAGTTGTCTTGGGGGTCCCCTGACACACCAAGTCTTAACCTGGATGGCGGTTTCTGCCCTAACTATTCTTTAAACCGTATGCATTTTGTGACTGCTTCCTATGCATGATGTTAGAATTTAAAAAACTAACCCAGGACTTTATAACTAACTGAAGGTGAGAAAGAAAGGGGAAGGATTAAAAATAAGTTTCTGGGTTGTGGTGACCCAGAAAACTTGCCATGGCTGCTAAGACAACACGCAGAAGAGAAATAGTTTCGGCGGAAGCAAAGGCAAGAAGTACTAAATTCACTTTGATCTACTGAGTTTGAGGAACAGGAGGGTAAACTCTCGCTTAGCAGACTGACGTCAAAGCTCAGGAGAAGTGATGAAAAGACTAGAAGAGATCTCACATCAAGAGAAATGCAGTTGAAACAAGGTGCCGTTTTTCTCCCAAGAAGTTGGAGAAAATTCAAATGGCTGGTAATCTCCCACATTTGCAAGACTGTGGGAGAATGGGCATTTACACAGGGTTGGACAGAATATAAATTTTTCCCAAGTCACACAGCAGGATGGATTTTTAAATGTATACTCCGTGACCCAGCAATTTCACTTCTAATAATATATCCTAAAAAATATATATATATTAGCATGCATGCATAAAGATTTCTCACGCTACAGCCAAAAGTGGTAAACGACAAGGACATTCTCCTCAGCATTATTTGTAGTAGCAAAAGCCAGCAAGCAACCTAAAAACCTTCAGCTGGAGTATAGATGTGTCATAGTTGATGACTACAATGGAATCTTTTGCAACTACCAAAGGAATCGGAAAGATGTTTACTACATAGCAGATTAAGAAAGAAAAGCAAGTTGCCAAAGTTTGTATGATTCCATTTTTGCCAAAAAGAAAAAAGCCAAACAGAACCAAAAAATGATATATAATCCTTTAACACTTATTAATTTAATTTTAAGTTTTAAATTTCTTTTTCTCCCCCTCCCCAAAGCCCCAGTATATAATTGTATGTTCTAGTTGTAAGCTCTTCTGGTTCTTCTATGTGGGACGCTGCCACAGCATGGCTACCAACAGATGAGTGGTGTGGTTCAGCATCTGGGAACTGAACCTGGGTCGCTGAAGTGGAGCACGCTGAACTTTAGCCACTAGGCCATCAAGGCTGGCCCTAAATTTCTTTTTATTTACTTTTTTTTTGTGAGGAAGATTGGCCCTGAGCTAACATCTGTTGCCAATCTTCCTCTTTTTACTTGAGGAAGATTGTCTCTGAGCTAACATCTGTGCCAATCTTCCTCTATTTTGCATGTGGGATGCTGCCACAGCGTGGCTTGATGAGCGGTGTGTAGGTCCGCGCCCAGGATCCAAACCTGTGAACCCCAGGCCGCCAAAGCGGAGTGCATGAACACAACCACTACACCACTGGGCTGGCCCCTAAATTTCTTTTTAAGAGCTTGCTTTTTTCTTTTTCTAGATGGCTCAACATTATTTGTTAAGAATCCATCTTTTCATCGCTAATTTGTAATGCCAGCCTCAACATGCATTAAATTCCCAAGTGGAATTCCAAGTGTCCATTTCTGACAGTTCCAGGCAGTTCCTTGAATCTATTTTCCATGCACTGGGATCACACTGTTTTATTTATTGAGCCTTAACATCTCTTTTAAACATCTGGTAGAGCCTGCCCTTCTCAGCACTCTCTACTTTTAGAATTTTTAAAGTTATTTCTCTTGTTTACCATTTTTTTCTTTTGGTTTCAAAATAAAAATGTGAGAGTCATCTGTATACAGTAAGTGAAACCATAAAATCACCCAGGGAGAACAATGAGCTATGGACAGAACCCTAGGGAACGCCAATACTTGGAAGGAACACCCCATGATCACAAACATCATTTAATTAAATGAAAATGAACAGACAGGGCAGCACCCACATTCTACTTAATCTCGGTTAACTGAAGAAACTCCACAAAACCACCAGAAATAACCCTCCACCCTCCCCACTTTCTTAGGTGCTCTGTTAGTTTCCTAGGACTGATGTAGCAAAAGTACCTCAAACTGGTTGGCTTAAAGCACAGATATTGATTGTCCCACAATCAATCAATTGTCCCATAATCCCGTTCTGGAGAGCAGGAGTCTGAGGTCAAGATGTCTGCAGGGTTGCCTCCTCCTAAGTCTGCGAGGGAGAATCTGTCCCGTGCATCTCTCCCAGCTTCTGGTGGTTTGCTGGCCATCACTGGCATTCCTTGGCTTGTAGATGCATCACTCTGATCTCTGCCTTCATCTTCACACAATGTGCTCCTTGAGTGTGTGTGTCTCTGTGCCCAAATTTCCTTTTTTTATAAGGACAAAGTCATATTGGATTAGGGTGTACCCTAATGACTGTATATTTTTTTTTGCTGAGGAAGATTTGCCCTGAGCTAACATCTGTGTCAATCTTCCTCTATTTGGGATGTGTGTTGCTGCCACAGCATGGCTGATGAGTGGTGTAGGTCTGTGCCCAGAATCCGAACTTGCGAACCCTGGGCTGCTGAAGCCAGTATGCCCCAGGGTCGGCCCCCTAATGACCGTATTTGAACTTGACTATATCTTAAAAGACCCTATTTCCAAATAAGGCCACATTCACAGGTACTGGGGGTTAGGACTACAACCTATCATTTTTAGGGGAACACAATCCAGTCCATAACAGGTACCACTCTAAGCGGATGAGCCAGAGTCAAATTCTACATGGAATATACTGTCCTCTCTTAGCTCAGGCCCCTGCTGGCTTACAGTATATAACAGCACGTGTCTAAGATGATGAATATCTGGAGCACATGGACCAGATTAACTTTATTTACTCTGTCTGCAATTGATTTAAAAAAGTCTGGAGAATGGGAATGGTATGGATGTCATAGAGGGGGCAAGGTTCAGAACAGAAGGTGGTTGAGACTGCCCAACCCCAAATACAATTCTATGCTAGCCTGTCCCTCAGGTGTCTTGTGAGCCGGCAGGAAAGAGCCGGGACTCAGCATGGGCTCGGAAGGAAGATGTGATGGATCACCCTCATTTTCCCGAGGTCAACTGATGTGAGAGAACAAACCCGCATTTCAGCAAAGCCTTTGGCTTAGCTTGGCTGAGGTCAGCTGGGAGCAACTCCCCTCCAGTTACCCGCTTCCCACAAGCCTTTTATAGATGGCTCCCTCAGTGCGTATGGGAGAGGGGAATCTGGGGGGCTTCTAGTGGAAGAGGAGGGTTCCAGGGTGGAGGTTCTGGTGGGAGAGGGGTTTTGAGTAGGGGGATGGATTTCTTGGGGGGGAGATCTCGTGGGAGAGGGGGTTCTAGTGGTGGTGGGGATTCTGTTGGGAGAAGGGATTCCAGTGGAAGGATTCTGGTGGGAGAGGAGGTTCTGGTGGTGGGGGTCCTGGTAGGAGAGGGAGTTTGAGTAGGGGGGGTTCTGATGAGGGATTTTGCTGGGGGGGGGTTCTGTTGGTTTTGCAGAGTTACATCCGTTAACAGAACCTTGGTGCAATGCTGGTGGTGGTCACCCTGTCCATTAATCTGTCTCCCACTACAGTGATTCACATGCAACTCAACTGCTACTTCATCTCAGAGGCCATGCATTCAGGGTCGTGTCACTGAGTTTTTTCTTTAAAACATCTGCCCTTGCGCTGCCCAAGATGGCAGCCACTAGCCACATGGGTCTATTGAAATTTAAATTCAATTACACAAAATTTTAAAGTTCTGTTCCTCAGTCACTCTTGCCACATTTCACGTTCTCAGGAGCCATATCTGGCCCATGGCTGCCATTTTAGACAGTGCAGACATAGAACATTTCCACCATCACAGAAAGTTCTATGGATGGTGCTACCCTAGGCCCACATGAGGCCTAATTCCTGGCCTCCCACACTACAGCCCCAGAGGGATCTTTTACTTTCCTTTAAAAAATTGTGAAATAGAACATATTTAGAAAAAAATGATAAGATGCACATGCATATTTAACAAATAATTGTAAAGTGAACATCCACGGAAATGTAGCTCTTGATGTCCCTTGCATTTTTTCCCGGTCGCAACCCCTTCCCTCCTCCCGGATGTCACCAGTATCCTGACTTCTGTCCTATTTATGTCCTTGCCCTTCTTTGTTGCTTTACCGTCAACGTATGGACCCCTAAGCACTGTAGTGTAGGTTTCCTAGTTTGGAGCTTTATATGGATAGGATCACACAGTGTGTCCTTTTTTGGGTCTGGGGTGATGTGATATGACTTAGGTTTTAATAGGATCTTGGGCTGCTGTGAGGAAAACAGAGTTGGGAAGGAGTCCTCCACTCTGTCAGACCCAAACGTTTTTGTAAAGATATTTTTGAAATGCCAAGAGGTGTGCTGGTAAATGTTTAACAACAGGATCTCTAGGAGGAGGAGGAAGAAGAAGAAGAAGAAGAAGGAAGAGGAGGAGGAGGAGGAGGAGAAGGGGGGAGGAGGGGGAGGAGGGGAGGAGGTGGAGGTGGAGGAGGAGGAGGAGGAGGAAGTGGAGGAGGAGGAGAGGAGGAGAAGATGAAGAGCAAAAGGGAGAGGAAGAGGAGGAGGGGGAGGGGAGGAGTATGGCCTTGTAAGACTGCGACAGTAGAGGACGTAAATGTTACTAATGACCTGAGCCTTCCACAGAGCTCTGGGGTGAGAATAACACCCCACGTGATGCCAGGAGATGCAGTAGTGAGGAGACATCGCAGGACAAATACCTCTTATTCTAATATCCCACCAACACAGTCAGCTTCTAGAACCTAAAATGACCTGAGAAACCAAACCCTTCCCTAGGCTGTGGGTATAGAGGCTGAGCTGTAAAAAGAAGCACTGAGACTAGAGCCCACAGAGCAGTCAGGGGTATAGTGACCGAGGAGGAAGGACAATAAGCAACCTGAAAATAGACACATATTTTCATGTGCTCGTTGACATCCAACTATCATCAGCTGTGAAGCATCTGTTCATTTTTTTTGGCCCATGTTTTCTCGGTTATTTATTTATTAATTTAGAGGAACATTAGCCCTGAGCTAACATTCACCTCGCCTTGTAATGGGTCACGTGGGCATATGACACACATCCAGTCAATGAGATACGGAGGCCAGCGGCTGGAGGGCTTTAGAAGGTTTCCCTCACTCTTCCAAAAGGGACTGAAGATAAGAACAAACCTCTTTTTGCTGCCTCAAAAGGGTTGGCTGCATGTGACACCTGGGTATGTGGCAGCCCTCTTGGGCCCATGAGGTAGTCAGTCCAAGAGGAGATGATGGCAGTTCAACAAGATGGATGGAACTGGAGTCACTGATGACATTGTTGAGCTGCTGAATTAATTTCCCTGGAGTTGTGCCATCTCTGGTCTTGTGCAAGACACGTGAATATATTATTTAAACCAGTGGGTCTTCAGTTACTTGCAGCCCAAAGCATTCTGATGCAACAGGGAAGGGTCCTGGTACATATAACCATGTGCTCCTCAGGCCTTGGAACTGATCTTGGGGGAGCCGGGAAAGGAGAAGGAGGCGCCAAAGATGGGCTAACATCAGTGCTTGAGTAGCGGTGACAGGTCTGCTGGGATCCCAATCCACTCGGGCAGGAAGGCTGCCTCTGGTTTAAAGACTTTGAGGAAGGGAGAGTCCGGGAGGGTGTAATTGGCCAGGTAGATGGTCTCTCCACCCGCCAGGTAGGCGGCCCAGATCCCGAAGGTCCCAATGGTCATGACGGTGTGGTTACACTGCGTGAGCAGCGCAAAGTCCTTGGCGGGCGAGCCCTCTTTGCCATCACCAGCAAACACCACATCGCCACGGGAGGCATCGATGTTTTCCCGACACCAGGCCATGCCGTTGCTGGTGACAACGAAGACGACAGAGCTGTAGCGAGCCCGGAACCAGTCCAGGGCCTTCTCCAGGTATCGCCGATCGGCCACCACACCCTTCCACACCTGTGGCATGACGTGCACATAGTCCCCCCGGCGCACGTGGACCCCCACAAAGGTGCTCGGCCGGCTGCCATTCACCTGCAGACCCCGCAGATATTTCTGGGCCTCCTCCCGCACGTGGTCGTGCAGCGTGAACTCCTGGAGGATCTCCTCACGGAGGTGGTGGTAGAAGGTCCAGGAGCAGGGGTAGCCAGTGAGGCGCACATAGTCCCCAGGAATGTGGCGGTACCGCTCCTCCATCCAGTCGTTCAGGTGGTAGTTCCGCCATGGGATCCTGCTGGCCGTGTCGCCATGCAGGACGGGGAGGGTGATCCTGAAGATGGGGGCCAGGGCGTCGTGCATCCGGGCCGGGATGTAGGCCGGCCGGCCGTTCATCTTGGCGAGCGCGTACAGGGTGGCATACTCACCCATCTGGTTCCCCAGGCGACCTATTGCATTGATCGTCCACATACCCCTTGGGATGGGTGGCTGGTTGGTGGTGGTTCTCTCCACGGTCTCCAGCGCTGGCCTCATCGCCGGCACCAACTCCCCTGTGCGTTGAATCTTTGCTAGCCGCTGCTGAATGTGAAATATGGTGGAAGCCACAAAGACGAAGAGGATGAAGTGGCCCATGGGGAAGAAGAAAGGCGCCTGAGTGCTGAGCATGGCTGTCAGGGGAGGGAGAGCAGGGGACGTTAGCTCCGGGGATGGAGGCCCTGCCGTGGCGCAGGAACGTGGCGGCGCAGTTGTGAGTACAGACCCCTGTGGGTGTGTGTGGGTGTGGGTTTACTTTGTGTGTGCTGTAAACGAATGTGAATACTCAGGTCCGTGTATGCAGGTATGTCTCTAGAGTGTGTGTCATGTGGGTTTGTTTACATTGGGTTCATAGGTGTGTGTTCACACATGTAGATATGTGTGCATTGTGTGTGTACACATGGCACGTGCTTTGTACGAGTATATATGGATATATATATAGTGTGTGTGTGCATATGAGTATCTATACATTGTGTACATATGTGGGTGTGAAACTGTGTGCATGTAAACGGACACATGCACACTGTAATGTACGAAGGTGTATTTATTGTGTACATATATGGGTGTGTACTATATACATATAGTGTGTAGGTATTTGTGAACACATGGCATGGCTGTATATATGAGTGTGCATACCTTATATGCACGTACATTGTATGTTTTAATGTGGGTGTTTATAGACTATGAGTGGACATATGTGGGTGTCTCTATATGGTGAGCACAAGTGTCTGAGCCTACTGAGGACCCAGTTTCTAGACACGTCCATCTTCGCATGCCCTGCCCATCTCTATCCCTTGGGAAGGGAAACTGCTCCGCCTATCAAGAACTCAGCCACTTGCCCTGCCTACCTCCTGGCCACAGACACCTGAACTTGAGATAGACACCTGAGTCCACGGTGGCTTCTCCATTGATTGGCTGTGGCCTCTGACAAGTGTACGCTGGCCCTACAAGATGAATTGGCCAATTCTCTCTCTTGAGTATTTTTACTAAAAGGCTCAGAAGGCAGCTGGCAGGTGAGGGGGGATTTTTTTCCTCCTGCTACCAACTGGGTGTCCAATAATTCAATTCCACTCAATTCTCACACGATCCACCTGGAGTTAGCATCCGATCCCACAAGTTAAAGAGTGTAATTCCACAAGACCGGCCCCCGCTTCAGACACCAATCATGAGTCCTGGGCCATTCACACTTCTGATGCACCAGCCACAAAGCAGGGGTTCTCGTGACCGCCCCCCTCAGGTTGGACAGTTTGCTAGAATGGCTCACAGAACTCGGGAGGGCACCTTACTCACATTCACTGGCACATTATAAAGGACAGCAATAGCCAGAGGAAGAGGGACACAGGGCGAGGTCCAGGAGGGTCCAGAGCACAGCGGCTCCTGTCCCTGTGGAGTTGCGGTGGGCCAACCTCCTGGCTCGCGGATGTATTTGCCAACTCAGAGGCTGTCTGAACCCCGCTGTTCAGGGCTTTTGTGGCGGTTTCGTTCCCCAGGCATGACTGATTAAATCAGTGGCCATGGGTGACGGATTCACCCTCCAGTCTCTCCCCGCCCCAGAGGTTGGGGGTGGGGCTCGAAGTTCCACCCTTGTCATCCAAGCTCGGTCTTTCTGGTGACCAGCCCCCATTTTGAAGCTATCTAGAGGCCTGCTAAGAGTCACCTCGTCAGAACCAAAGACACTCTTATGACCGCGATCACTCAGGAAGGGCCAAAGATCTTAGGAGCTGTGTACCAGGAACTGGGGACAAAGATCAAATGGCGTTCTAGGAGACCACAGCAGGTGATGCTGAAAGAGAGAGCAGGGAGCGGAGCGGTGGGGCCATGTCAGAGGCAGGCTGAAGCAGAGCGACCAGCAGCCACGAGATACCTGCAGCGATGTGCAGAGAGCTCAAGAGAAGCTCAGTTACTGGCCAAGGAATCCCAGAAGACCCCTGTATATGTGAAGAAATATACAAGCTGTTCTTTTCAGCTCTGGCTACAACAGAAATTAGTTGCAGGAATGGGCTGGCTGCACAGGACAGACCTTGCGAGAACACGTGGGATTCACAGTGGTCTCACAGGAGGTATGGGGGCCAGTGACTCCCCATCCTGGGACGTGAAATCTGAACCAGTGGTTTGCAGCACGAAGCAGTTAATTCAGCTGTTGCCTGGGATCCTGTAGGACAAAGCAAATGCCCAAGAAGGATAAGACTTGGAAGATGTGTTTGGTGAGCACATGCCAAGCAGCCATAAGTAAAGGAAAGCAGGAAATGAATTGGTTGTGACTTTCCATTATGTGACTAGAAGCCAGTAAGGAAAAGCAGAACAATCATTACTTAGCATCACCACCATTAACACTTTATTATTGCTGAAGATTACACGCAAAAATGAGTGATGGTCTTTGTAATTTTTTTTTTCAAGAAGAAGATTAGCCCTGAGCTAACATTGGCTGCCAATCCTCCTCTTTTTGCTGAGGAAGACTGGCCCTGAGCTAACATCTGTGCCCATCTCCTCTACTTCATGTGTGGGACGCCACCACAGCATGGCTTGATGAGAGGTGTGTAGGTCTGAGCCCAGGATCTGAATTGGTGAACCCTGGGCTGCTGAAGCAGAGCATGCAAACTTAACCACTGCACCAGCAGGCCGGCCCCAGCCCATGTTTTCTAACAAAGTGTTTGTCTTTTTCTTATCGACTTATAGGCATTCTTTGTATGTTCTGCATGTGAGCCATGTGAAATGTAGATATTGCAAACATGAAAAATGTCTTTTGATGAATAAAAGTTCTTAATTATAATGAAGTCCAATATATCAATATTTTTATGGTTGCCACTTTTTGTGTGTGTCCTATTTAAGAAACCTTTGACTGAAATCTCACAAGGTTGTAATCTATCATAACATTAATAAAAAAAAAAAAAAAAAAAAAAAAAAGAAACCTTTGCCCACCTCAAGGTCATGAAGCTATTTTCCTGTGTTTTGTTCTAGAAGCTTTATGCTTTTAGCTTTCACATTTTGATCTGGGATCCATTTTGAATTAATGTCTGTGTATGGTGTGAGGTCGGGAGTCAAGGTTCACCTTTTCCATATGGACATAGAATGACTTTCAGCTAGGATATACAACTATGTGCTGGGGCTTTGGGGAGAAAAAAAAAAAGAGTAAGTTCAAGCTTTTGGTTGAAGTAAGTGGATAGTGCCATTTACTGAGACAGGGATGGGCGGGGGAAAGATTTAAGCGGTCAAAACCAACAGGAGATGCTGCCACAACCATCTTCAGAAACTACAACCAACCGTGACATTGTTTGAATTGAGAACCATGTAAAACGTGCCCCCAAGAGAAAACATAAAATGTACGTTAAAAAAAGAGAGAATACCAAATTAATAAACAAATTAAGGTAGGGTTTGTTATTATTATTATTTTAAACAGCAAAACCTGGTCAAACGACCACCACCCACTCAAGCTGTATAAAATACCGGAAATTTGAAAGGGGATTCCTTCAGTGGAGTTATTCAGGCAGAGACTCATTAGCCATAAGTACTACGGTACCCCATTCCGTGGGTACCAAGCCAAAAGAAAGAGGCCCCAAGAGAACCGCCCAGAGAGACTGTGGAGGCTGCAAGGAGACGTGAGGTAGTCATTAGGGCAGTGCACTAACGTCATGGGGCACGTGGACAGGTCACTCTTGCTTGCCCTCTTTGAAACTGGGTTTGATCGCATGACTTGCATCAGTCACTGAAACGTGACTGGCAAAAATTTTTTCCTATGTACTCATTTTTGGAGCATCTTTCCAATCCTTATATTCTTTTATTACCTTCTCTTGGAACCAATTCTCTTACAAATATGGCGGCCATGTTTGAAATGGGTGACCCCCTCCCCGCGGCCTTAGGTAACTGGCCCACGGTGGATGCTTGACTCAAACGTCCATCTGATTGAGTCAATCAGATTGTCTCTTTCAGGAAGGTGAAAGTGTGGCAGAGAGACGCTAGGAGTCCCTGTTGGGCCCTTGAAATGAGACGACTCTACTTCCATCATTACCGCTTCAGTCCACCATCATTGCTTAGTAGGGATATTCCAGAAGCCTTCTCACTGGTCTCTTTGCTTCCACCCTTGTCCCTACAGCCCTTTCTCCTCGTAGCAGCCAGATAGGTCCACACAGCAAATCAGATCATGTCATTCCCCTAATGAAAACCCTCTGATGGCTTCCCATTGGTCTCACAATAAAACCCAGAGTCCTTGTCATGGTCCACAAGACCTTTCATGGTCTGACCCTGCTAACCTCTCCACCCACATCTGTCTCCACGTGCTCCAGCCACCCTGGCCTCCGGCAGGACGGGCCACATAGAGGAGAAGGAGATGCTCCCACTGAGCTCCCCTCAAACGCAGCCGCATGAGAGACTCCAGCCAACACTGCATGGAGCAGAGTCCCACCCAGCTGACCCACAGAATCGTGGGAAATAATTAATTGCTGTTGTTTTAAGCCAGTACGTTTTGTTAACGCAGCCCTTGAGAGCAGGGACCCTGTCTGTTAGGTTCACCGCCACAAACATTTACTGAAAGAATGAATGGACTCTCCTCAAGTCCACAGAGCCACGCTGGTCTCTCAGTTCTCCACCACAATCATCCCAGGCCCTAGGAAGCCAGGGTTGCAGAGGTGGGGCCTTTGGGGTTAGATACACACCAGCCACTAGCCAATATGGCATTCTCATGAAAACTGGACGAAAGGTCTCCCCTCTGGATGGACTAACTGGAAAAGCGTGAGCCCTCTGGAAGGACACAGTTCCAGGGACACATGGCTTGGAGAGTAGACTGTGGGCTCTATTTAAGCCCCACTTGCCTCCTTGGCCTTTGTGTGGTGAACAACCTGTGCAACAATTCAGGGCTTCCCTGTTCTGCACTCTGCAGCTGTCCCTCCCTTCTTCCTGGGTGAGAACAGGCCAATTTTCTTTCTGCAAGCTGCCATGTGCTTCAGAGGAGGCTGATCAACTCCTCAGCTGCAGGGGGCAAAGATATATTGATCTGAGGCTAAGCCGATTCCAGGGTCTCATTCCTCTCGCCTTGTAATGGGTCACGTGGGCATATGACACACATCCAGTCAATGAGATACCGGGGGCCAGTGGCTGGAGGGCTTTAGAAGGTTTCCCTCACTCTTCCAAAAGGGACTGAAGATAAGAACGAACCTCTTTTTGCTGCCTCAAAAGGGTTGGCTGAATGTGACACCCAGGTATGTGGCAGCCCTCTTAGGCTCATGAGGTAGTCAGTCTAAGAGGGGATGATGGCACTTCAACAAAATGGATGGAGGGGGCTGGCCCTGTGGCCGAGTGGTTAGGTTCGCTGGCTCCCCTGCAGGTGGCCCAGTGTTTCGTTGGTTCGAATCCTGGGCGTGGACATGGCACTGCTCGTCAGGCCCTGCTGAGGTGGCGTCCCACATGCCACAGCTAGAAGGACCCACAACGAAGAATATACAACTATGTACTGGGGAGCTTTGAGGAGAAAAAGTGAAAAAAAATAAAATCTTTAAAAAACAAAATGGATGGAACTGGAGTCACTGATGACATTGTTGAGCTGCTGAATTAATTTCCCTGGAGTTGTGCCATCTCTGGTCTTGTGCAAGACACATGAATATATTATTTAAACCAGTGAGTTGGGTCTTCAGTTACTTGCAGCCCAAAGCATTCTGATGCAACAGGGAAGGGTCCTGGTACATATAACCATGTGCTCCTCAGGCCTTGGAACTGATCTTGGGGGAGCCGGGAAAGGAGAAGGAGGCGCCAAAGATGGGCTAACATCAGTGCTTGAGTAGCGGCGACAGGTCTGCTGGGATCCCAATCCACTCGGGCAGGAAGGCCGCCTCTGGTTTAAAGACTTTGAGGAAGGGAGAGTCCGGGAGGGTGTAATTGGCCAGGTAGATGGTCTCTCCACCCGCCAGGTAGGCGGCCCAGATCCCGAAGGTCCCAATGGTCATGACGGTGTGGTTACACTGCGTGAGCAGCGCGAAGTCCTTGGCGGGCGAGCCCTCTTTGCCATCACCAGCAAACACCACATCGCCACGGGAGGCATCGATGTTTTCCCGACACCAGGCCATGCCGTTGCTGGTGACGACGAAGACGACAGAGCTGTAGCGAGCCCGGAACCAGTCCAGGGCCTTCTCCAGGTATCGCCGATCGGCCACCACACCCTTCCACACCTGCGGCATGATGCGCACGTAGTCCCCCCGGCGAACGTGGACCCCCACGAAGGTGCTCGGCCGGCTGCCATTCACCTGCAGACCCCGCAGAAATTTCTGGGCCTCCTCCCGCACGTGGTCGTGCAGCGTGAACTCCTGGAGGATCTCCTCGTGGAGGTGGTGGTAGACGGTCCAGGAGCAGGGGGTGCCGATGAAGCGCACGTAGTCCCCAGGAATGTGGCGGTACCGCTCCTCCATCCAGTCGTTCAGGTGGTAGTTCCGCCATGGGATCCTGCTGGCCGTGTCGCCATGCAGGACGGGGAGGGTGATCCTGAAGATGGGGGCCAGGGCGTCGTGCATCCGGGCCGGGATGTAGGCCGGCCGGCCGTTCATCTTGGCGAGCGCGTACAGGGTGGCATACTCACCCATCTGGTTCCCCAAGCGGCCTACTGCATTGATCGTCCACATACCCCTTGGGACTGGTGGCTGGTTGGTGGTGGTTCTCTCCATCGTCTCCAGCGCTGGCCTCATCGCCGGCACCAACTCCCCTGTGCGTTGAATCTTTGCTAGCCGCTGCTGAATGTGAAATATGGTGGAAGCCACGAAGACGAAGAGGATGAAGTGGCCCATGGGGAAGAAGAAAGGTGCCTGAGTGCTGAGCATGGCTGTCAGGGGAGGGAGAGCAGGGGACGTTAGCTCCGGGGATGGAGGCCCTGCCGTGGCGCAGGAACGTGGTGGTGCAGTTGTGAGTACAGACCCGTGTGGGTGTGTGTGGGTGTGGGTTTACTTTGTGTGTGCTGTAAACGAATGTGAATATTCAGGTTCGTGTATGCAGGTATGTCTCTAGAGTGTGTGTCATGTGGGTGTGTTTACATTGGGTTCATAGGTGTGTGTTCACACATGTAGATATGTGTGCATTGTGTGTGTACACATGGCACATGCTTTGTACGAGTATATATGGATATATATATAGTGTGTGTGCATATGAGTATCTATACATTGCGTACATATGTGGGTGTGAAACTGTGCATGTAAACGGACATGTGCACACTGTAATGTATGAAGGTGTATTTATTGTGTACACATATGGGTGTGTACTATATACATATAGTGTGTAGGTATTTGTGAACACATGGCATACATGTATGAGTGTGAGTATATATGAATGTGCATACCTTTTTTTTTTCCCCTTTCTCCCCAAAGCACCCTGGTACATAGTTGTATATTCTTCGTTGTGGGTCCTTCTAGTTGTGGCATGTGGGACGCTGCCTCAGCGTGGTTTTGATGAGCAGTGCCATGTCCACGCCCAGGAATCGAACCAACGAAACACTGTAGCGGAGCTTGCGAACTTAACCACTCGGCCACGGGGCCAGCCCCTGAGCGTACATACCTTATACGCACATACATTGTATGTTTTAATGTGGGTGTTTATAGACTATGAGTGGACATATGTGGGTGTCTCTATATGGTGAGCACAAGTGTCTGAGCCTACTGAGGACCCAGTTTCTAGACACGTCCGTCTTCGCATGCCCTGCCCATCTCTATCCCTTGGGAAGGGAAACTGCCCCGCCCATCAAGAACTCAGCCACTTGCCCTGCCTACCTCCTGGCCACAGACACCTGAACTTGAGATAGACACCTGAGTCCACGGTGGCTTCTCCATTGATTGGCTGTGGCCTCTGAGAAGTGTACGCTGGCCCTACAAGATGAATTGGCCAATTCTCTCTCTTGAGTATTTTTACTAAAAGGCTCAGAAGGCAGCTGGCAGGTGAGGGGGGATTTTTTTCCTCCTGCTACCAACTGGGTGTCCAATAATTCAATTCCACTCAATTCTCACACGATCCACCTGGAGTTAGCATCCGATCCCACAAGTTAAAGAGTGCAATTCCACAAGACCGGCCCCCGCTTCAGACACCAATCATGAGTCCTGGGCCATTCACACTTCTGATGCACCAGCCACAAAGCAGGGGTTCTCGTGACCGCCCCCCTCAGGTTGGACAGTTTGCTAGAATGGCTCACAGAACTCGGGAGGGCACCTTACTCACATTCACTGGCACATTATAAAGGACAGCAATAGCCAGAGGAAGAGGGACACAGGGCGAGGTCCAGGAGGGTCCAGAGCACAGCGGCTCCTGTCCCTGTGGAGTTGCGGTGGGCCAACCTCCTGGCTCGCGGATGTATTTGCCAACTCAGAGGCTGTCTGAACCCCGTTGTTCAGGCTTTGTGGCGGTTTCGTTCCCAGGCATGACTGATTAAATCAGTTGGGCATGGGCAACGGATTCACCCTCCAGGCTCTCCCCGCCCCAGAGGTTGGGGGTGGGGCTCGAAGTTCCAACCTTGTCATCCAAGCTCGGTCTTTCTGGTGACCAGCCCCCATTTTGAAGCTATCTAGAGGCCTGCTAAGAGTCACCTCGTCAGAACCAAAGACACTCTTATGACCGCGATCACTCAGGAAGGGCCAAAGATCTTAGGAGCTGTGTACCAGGAACTGGGGACAAAGATCAAATAGCGTTCTAGGAGACCACAGCAGGTGATGCTGAAAGAGAGAGCAGGGAGCGGAGCGGTGGGGCCATGTCAGAGGCAGGCTGAAGCAGAGCGACCAGCAGCCACGAGATACCTGCAGCGATGTGCAGAGAGCTCAAGAGAAGCTCAGTTACTGGCCAAGGAATCCCAGAAGACCCCTGTATATGTGAAGAAATATACAACCTGTTCTTTTCAGCTCTGGCTACAACAGAAATTAGTTGCAGGAATGGGTTGGTTGCACAGGACAGACAGTAAGGAAAAGCAGAACAATCATTACTTAGCATCACCACCACTAACACTTTATCATTGCTGAGATACATCCCAAAATGAGTGATGGGCTTTGTTATTCTTTTTTTTTTTTTTTTTTTTTTTTGAGGAAGATTAGCCCTGAGCTTACATCTGCTGCCAATCCTCCTCTTTTTGCTGGGGAAGACTGGCCCTGAGCTAACATCCATGCCCATCTTCCTCTACTTTATATGGGGGACGTCTACCACAGCATGGCTTGCCAAGCGGTGCCATGTCCACACCCGGAATCAGAACCGGCGAACCTCGGGCCGCCAAAGCAGAGCGTGTGCACTTAACCGCTGCACCACCAGGCCAGCCCCGGGCTTTGTCATTCTACTGTCTAGGCGGGACGAACACCTGGACTGCGTTGCCACCATCAAAGGCTGGGTTTGACCACTGATCGATAAGACCGGACTCTGAGCACCAGACAGGGGAGTAGCTGGGCGGAGTCAAAAGAACGAAAGCCTTCTGACCTCTCAGCTCTTTCAAAGACTTCTCACTTCCTTCCCTGCAGATACGAGGCTCCCGCCCAGCCTTTAAAACTCTTCCTCACGAACAGGCTTTCCGGCAGCCTATCCTGGAGGCTCTGCACCAAGGGAGATCAGAGAGGAAAGGTTTCCAGGTGATTTGGTGTGGGGTTTACATGGCGGCTCGAAGGACTGAACCAAGTGGCCTTTTAGAAGAGAACATCGGGGCTAGCTCCAGCAGGGTGTGACCTGCTTGAACCAGGAAGCTGACAGAAGCTAAGCAGGTGCGGTCTATTACAGATAATCATGAATAACCCAAGTTGGCACAGGACCTAATGTAGCAACGTCCCTGCTTCTGGTTCATAAGTCACCGAAACCTTCAGAGCCCAGTAAGACTGCGTGCGAGTTACCTTTCCGGAAGAAAATCAGGCTTGTCAACTAGATGCCTGGATTTGAATGGGACCAACTCAGCTGGGGGTCTGGGCCTCACCTGGGTCCTCTGCAGGTGTTGAGCCCAAGCAGAAATGGACTCCTGGGTGGCACAACTTCCTGTTCCACTCGAACAGAAGGAGCCGGGGGCTGGGTTGGCTCAGCAGATGCTTAGGAGATTCTCTGTCTTACGGTCCACAAGATCCAGATAAGGCCCCCTCCTCATTGCCAGTGAGAAGAAGGTCTCCATTCCCTAAGCCCTGTGTGGAATGCCCTTCACATGGTGACTCTGACAGGACACAGCACTGTGGTTAAGTGCATGCGGTCTGGCTGCTGGTGCGGCCATGCTAAGCCATCCCTAACTGAACCGAGAAATCCACAAGCAGGGTGAATTCAGCCCTGAGAGTAAAAAGTGAGTGAGATCACACTAAAGGAGGGAGAGAAAGAAAGTACCACTGGGTCCCCGGTGGCCTCCTGGCTCCTGTTCTCTCAAGGCCGCACTGCACTTTCATTCCCGTCCAGATCCTCACAGGATTCCTCAAGACCACTTGACTCTGGAGAGACAGGAAGTCTCTGGGGATTGGGAGGCAGGAGGAAGCTGGGGAAAGTGGGGGGGAGCACCAACGTAGGAGGACGGAGAGCTCCGGAGTGTTTCTTGAATTCTTTCTCCAACTAGATTGTGGGCACTTGAAGGGCAAGGAGTAAACTTGGCTCCTCTTTCTGGCTCTGAATTTGCCAAGCACAGGACATGGGGCAGGGGAGGGGGGCTGTGCCAATGGAAATGTTTGTGGGAAGACAGAACGATGGAGGAAAGGAAGGGAGAGAGTAGGGTATGGAAGGGAGGGAGGGAGGGAGAGACGGAAAAAGAGACCAAGAAGAGGGAAGAGAGGGAAATAGAGAGACAGAAATGGAGAAAAAGACAGGGAGAGAGACAGCCCTGATGCCTAGTGGCTAAAGTTCAGTACTCTCGCTGCTTCGGCAGCCCGGGTCTGTTTCCCAGTCTTGGAACCACAGTACCCATCTGTCAGTAGCCATGCTGTGGCAGTGGCTCACATAGAAGAAGTGGAAGGACTTACAGCTAGGATATACAACCATCACTGGGAGGAAAAAAAAAAGGAGGAAGATTGGCAATAGATGTTAGCTCAGGGCCAATCTTTCCCTGCAGGAAAAAAAAAAAAAGAAAGAAAGAAAAGAAAACCTAAAGAAAGTTGAAGGAGCCGTAATAATATCAGGAGGAAAAAAACAACAAACACAGGCGCAGAACCAGAGAAAGAGAGCAGGAAGAGAGACAGACAGACCAAGAGAGACTGAGATGGACCGAGAAAGATGAAGACAGGGAGAAAAACACAGGAATAGAATGAGAAGAGGAGAGACAGACAGAGGGAGGGAGAGAGAAGAAGGCAGGCAAGAGAGATGTGTCTCCACGGGGTCCCATCGGTAGCTCCTGCTCTGTCCCCATTCTCTCCACGTCAGTCCCCATCAGGACCCTGGGTCTCCGTCTCTTGATGACACACACAGCTCCATGAAGGATGGGACAGTGTCTGTCGTGTTCCCTGTGTATCCCCCAGAGCCCTCGGAAACCGCTCGGCGCACAGTAGGTGCCCAGGAAACAGAGGCAGAAGGAATGGGGTCTCCACCTCTCTGGTCCCCTCTGGCTCCATCTGTTTTTTGCTCCCTCTCTCATTCAGTCTCCACCAACCTCTCCCTCCCTCGAATCTCTCATTTCCTCACGTCCCTGTCTTCTGGTTTGGTTTTTTTGGTCTTCATTTCCCAGTATCTCGTAGGTAAAAAGATGCATATTGGAAGATCTGACTTTTGCAATCAAACCTCTTAATCACTGGGCTGGCAGGAGGGGGAGGGGGCCCTGAATGTCGCTTTGACATTTGTTTACAGAAGACAGAAAGACAATAGGGCTAGTTTTGTTTGGGTCAAAAGAAACACAGAATGTTCTAGAACAATCTCTCGGCCTCCTTGGCTGTTCCCTCCCTCCTGACCCAGGAAGGGGGATGGGTCCCTGCTGAGGAGTCTAGCTAGCATGGCAAGCGCCTCCAGACCTGGCGCCCTGGCCTTGACGGGGTTGCAGGGAGAGGAGGAAGAGGTGGCGACAACCTCACGGGGCCAAACCCAGAGTCTGGGAGCGGAGCCTCCACTGAGGTTTTGCTCTTATCAGCTGTGTGACCTTGACCGAGGGCCTTGACCTCTCAGTGTCGTCATCCGAAACATTGGGAGGATAAGTAAGAGCGCCTCTCTCCAGGCCTGTGTGAGGACATGGGTAACCTGCGGTGATGGGGGCTGGCCCGGTGGCGCAGCAGTTAGGTGCACACTTTCCGCTTCGGTGGCCCGGGGTTCGCCGGTTTGGATCCAGGGTGCAGGCATGGCACTGCTTGGCTCGCCATGCTGTGGTAGGCGTCCCACATATAAAGTAGAGGAAGATGGGCATGAATGTTAGCTCAGGGGCAGTCTTCCTCAGTGAAAAGAGGAGGATTGGCAGCAGATGTTAGCCCAGGGCTAATCTTCCTCAAAAAAAAAAAAAAAGATCTACATATGATGAAACCATAAAAAAAATTAAAAAACAAAAACCTGCGGTGAATGCTGACAACAGTCTGGACCTGTTACTGGAGCAGGGTTAATACCCCAGGCGCACGCTGATCCCAGGCTCAGCCAAGGGTCCCTGTCAGTCTTCGTCTGGCCAGGGCTGGGGTGGCAGCTGGGATGGGAGGAGACTCAGCTAGCAGCTCGCTTGACATCTGCGGGGAAAGCTTGGGGAGTATCCACGGCTGGAGTCTGAGGTGGTGCCACTTCTGGTAAATGGGAGGAGCCTGCCTTTCCTGGGGTCCCCTGAGGTCAGGGAGTCAATCTCCTTATCTGCCCTCAGTCTCTACAGCTGCGCCAGGCACTTCAGGCCAGCCATGGAGGGAGTGGAAAGAGGGGGGGTCATAGTCCCCTGGGGGTGGTCCCTTGGGGGAATCACAGTAGGACGCAGGACAGAAAGGAGCCCCAACTTTGAAGGAGGAATCCAGCCTCCAGGCCCCTCAGAAAAGTGGAGCCACCAATATCTGCCGATAATTTCTTTTTAATTCTCTCCGTCTCTTCCACGTCTCTCTATCCCAGACCTGGCGTCATCCTCTGCCTTCTAGAGCCCCGTGTGTCCCCACACCCAGAGCTGAGCCTGCCCGTCAGCTCACAGCCCTCCCAGGGCTGCCCACCCCCCAGGCTTGGTCACCAGCCTATTCCGTGCAGTAACCCCCATCTTCCCCTTCCCCAGGTCCAGTCCAGTCACACCCTGGGATTTGCAAGTCCTGTTCCCTGTTCTCCGAAAGCCTCTCCCTCCCCTTCTCGGCTCCTCCCCACATAAGCTCAGGTCACCCAGTTCATCACCACCCCAGCTCCCTCCTGGCCTCCCAAAGTCGCACTATAATCACCACGCTGGGGAAAGAGTTTAAGACAAAAATGTGGGGCCACCAGTTTGAAGTCCCTGACTTGATTCTGGGCCTAGAGTGGAAGGGGTGACTCAGGACGGGATTAGGGAGCAAGGGACCAAGACGCCTCCCGGGGTGGGGGACCCCTGGGTCCTGTGGGTGGGTCCTGCCCTCCATCCCAGAGGTCAGAGGTCAGGGAGCTGCCTACAAGATGGGAACAGGAACTCTCGTTCCTACTGGCGCCGCCCTGGCCTTTCCAGAGGCACATTCACTCTCAGGTCGGTCAGGAAACGGGTGACAGGAGGGAGGGAGGGAGCTGGTGGCCTCAGGTGGGGGAGGGGAGCGTGGTGGTGACAGAGGGGGTGGGGGCTCAAGGAACAGATCTTCGAGGAAGGAAGGTGATGGGGGCTGAGGAGGGCAGCTGGCTTGAGGAGTGATGGGCAAGCCAGATGCCTGGTGTGCTGGGGGCAGAGGACATGGGTGTCTGGGGCTGTGAGGGATGGACCCTCTGCTTCCAGAGGTCCCGAGGTGGGTGCATCCCAGAGGGGACCAGAGACCCAGGAGTAGACGGCTGAGGCTCCACTCCCCGATTCCCCGGGAACAAGGCTGTGCCCAGCTCTCTGCCCTGGGTGTGTGTGTGTGTGCACGCACGCGAGCACGCTGCAGGGTGCAGGGAGAGCCCCCTCGCCATCTCTCACCTGCTACCTGGTTCTGGCTGTAGGAACCGGGGAGTGCGCGACAAGGTGGCTCTGCAAGCAGCTCTCTGCGGCTTGACTCTTCACTCAGAAATCTCCTGAAACTTCCGGCACCCGGCACACCCCGCCCAGGATCTCCCTGGCCTCCCAGAGTCAGTGAGAGGTGGGGTGGCTGGGCTGCTGGAGCCACCTGAGCCTGAAGCTCCTCCTCCCTCCCCACATGCCTGCTGGACACAGGCCGGGAAGGCAGCCTGGAGGAGGCGGGCAGAGAACAGCTGGGCCAGGCTGTTCCTGACTCTGAGGGTCCTACATTTATTTATTTATTTTGGCAAATGACTCTTAGCACTTACCTGGCTTACCAACCTCCTTCCATCTTCACCATTCTGTGAGGTGGACACTCTTAGTGGCCCTATGGTACAGAAGGGGAAACCAAGGCACAGAGAGGTGAAGTAACTTGCCTGAGGCCACACAGGAAGAAAGTCATAGAAGCTGGAATTTGAAACCAGGCAGGCTGGAATCTTGGAAAATACCTGGCAAATAGCAACTCTTTTGTTTCCCTTACTTCAAAAAAGATTGTCTTAGAAAATTACTATTTTGCATCCCCTCATGGGACATCATAGGTCCAGGAAATGCTTGTCTATGGCTGCCGAAATCAGGTGCAAGACTGATGAGAAATTTTACTGGGCAGGGATGAGGCGGCACCGCCAGAGCCCCCAACAATCCTAATGGAGAAAGAGGGACAAGGGCCCTTCTCTGGGCCCCCGAGTGAGGTGACAGCAAATTCGTGGCGCCATCTACAAACCTTACCCCGCCCACACACAAAATAAGAACCTGAATTGGATCAAGACTCTCACCGTGATCACCACTTTGCAGAAAACAGGTGGATAAAGTTGCCTGTGAATTGACACCATGAGGACACAATCAGCCAAGTCCAGAATGTGGGACAGTCTAGAGGACAAATGACCCGATTTCCCCAATGACTCAATGACATGGAAAAAAGAAGCAAGGGGTGGGGCTGGCCCGCTGGCACAGTGGTTAAGTTTGAGCGCTCTGCTTCAGCAGCCTGGGGTTCGTGGGTTTGGATCCCAGGGGCGGACCTAGCACTGCTCATCAAGCCATGCTGTGGCAGCATCCCACATACAAAATAGAGGAAGATGGGCACAGGTGTTAGCTCAGGGCCAGTCTTCCTCACCAAAGGAAAAAAAAAAAAGCAGACAGGGAGACTTAAAATACATGCAAACAGATTCTGGGCTCAGAAACATAGAAACACATTTTCCACTTATATGAATGTCTGGTAGGATGTTCGAAAGACATGAGGATGTGGGACAATTGTTTGTTACATAACCCTTAGCGGCTGTGGCCCTCAGTCACTAAATGCTGTGCTAGTGTCATAACCATTGTGACAACTCAAAATGCCCTCACACATTCCCAAAATGTCCCCCGGGGATGGCACTCCTGAAGGGAGGACTGCCTCCTTAACTCTTCTGCTCGCCTGTTCCAGGACCAGGGCAATGCTGGTCAACCCTAAAAGCCAGCTCTCTGGAGAAAAGAACCCTGGTGGGCGGCATCTGCCAATTTCCACGGTGTAAATATTTTCACCATGGCCAGTTTCGAGCTGCCAACAGGACATCATTGAACACAGAATCCAAGAGATGCTCAACAGGACTCTGTTCTATAAAACCCCTGCCATACAGCTATGATAAATGTAAATAACCCCGAGAGACAGATAATAGGAAAATAATTAGAGCATGATGACTTTTGAGCATTCATTACCTTTTTTTTTGGTGAGGAAGATTGGCCCTGAGCTAACATCTGTGCTAATCTCCCTCTATTTCATGTGGGACGCCGCCACAGCGTGGCTTGATGGGCAGGGCTGGGTCTGTACCCGGGATCCGAACCTGCGAACCCCAGGCTGCTGAAGCGGAACATGCGAACTTAACAACTGCATCACCAGGCTGGCCCCCACTACCTTTGGTTTTTGATATAATGTATTCACCTGTAAGTGATCCCATTTAATTCTAGGTCATGGCTGTGCTTAACCGCCAGCTTGCAATACTCCTAGAAATTTCGCCATCGGCTCTCTTGAGAGGTATGTGCTGACCCCAACACACGGCTGCTTGGGATCTGCCCTCATCTTTGGTGCATCCGGTTGGTCTGCTCGGCTGGTGTCCCCTCTAGGCCGCTGGGGACAGGCGCAGGTCCAGCAGAGCTACGGGGAGGGGTCCTGGTATCGCTGTCATTCTCTCTTCAGGACAGTCCCCAGCCCATACCCTCCAGGATTCTTTCTGCTCCACCTGTTCCGTAAATATTTAATTAAGCATCTACTATGTTCTGAATTCCACCTGGGGAAAGAGCAACGAGAATCTCCGACTTCAGGGCACTTCCGTAGTACTCGCCCAGGACTTGTTAAATAAATTAGCGCAATTAACATGGTCGCTCACAACTCTGCAGACGTCCAGTTGACTTTCGGCCATAAAGAGGAACGAAGCCATGATACGTACTCCAACACAGTGGATGAAGCCAGATGCAAAGGCTGCATACTGTATGATTATTGATACGAAACGTCCAGAAGAAGCAAATTTACGGAGACAGAAAGTAGATTAGCGGTTGCCAGGGGTTGTGTGGGGGGGCAATAGGGATGTGACGGTTAATGGGTACGGGTTTGTTTTTGAGGGAATCGAAATGTTCTGGAATTTGATAGTGGCGATGGTTGCACAACATGGTGAGTGTCCTAATACCACTGAATTATACACTTTAAAACAGCCAATTGACTATTGCCATATCAGCCTGCGATATGACTGCTCCCCCCCACCCCATCGCTCCTGTTGCCCCCGGGAGAGAACTCGCCAGCCCTCAGGGCCTCCTCTGCGCAGCCCGGCCTCTCCTGGAAGCCTCCATAAGTTTCTCCCACAGCACCGGGAGCCCCAGCAGCTTCTGGGTCTTGCTGTGCCTTCCACTTTGCTCTCTCAAGACACCAAGGCTCAGAAGGCCAAGGAGAAGGTCCCTCAGGGAAGGTGACACAGAGGCAGCTTCTAATCCAAGCCACTCAGTCCTGTGAAAAAGTGACATAAGCGGAGCCATTTTAAATCACGGTCGGAGCAGCCACGCCAGAGGGACTGCCTTGCCCGTCATCTCGTTCCTTGAACCTTGGACTGGACCAAACTGGCAATTGTTTTACAAGCAACTGGGTCTCGATGAGTCAGGAGGAGCCTGGACGTCCTGATGGCAGAGACTGAGGACTTCGGGCTCGGGGACGATGGGATCAATGGTCAAGCGGGCGTTGAGCCAAAGCCAGCTCTCTGCTTCAACTCCAGATAAAATTCGTTGTCATACGAGCTCCCTTCTTGGCCTTTAAAAGCCCCTGACTTTTCCTCCCCAGCGGGACACTGTTTGGTTTTCCGCCTGAATCTGTGCTCCCGAATTGCGAATTGCGATTCTTTGATCCCAAAGAAACACTTTGCCTCTCAAACTGGCTTCTGTTTTTCCCAACCCCCTGCGCTCCCCTTTGCAATTTGGGGTCAAGGCTCGTCTGTCTTCCTGAGCCGCCAAGAACCCCCTTAACCCTCTGTTCCTGGTCTGCCCTCAGGACACAGTTTTATATGGTACCTCAACTTGAACCATCATCAAATAGTAATAATGGAATAATAGTATCTACGGTGACTGTAGGCCCCCTAGGGCAGGAACTCTATCGATGTCATTTATTGCTGTACGTTATCAACAACCGTGACCCACTTAATCCTCCCCATTCAGATGATCACTATCAACTGAGGCCTAGAGAGGTGCAGCCACTCACCCAAAGCCACACAGCGTGTAACCTGTAGAGCTAGGACTCGAACCCTGATCCCAAAGTCTGGTTTTTTTTTTTAATTATGGTAAAATAAATATACCATAAAATTGCCATCTTAATCATTTTTAAGTACTCAGTTCAGTAATGTTAAGTATATTCACACTGCTGTGCAACCAACCTCCAGGACTTTTTCATCTTGGAGAACTAAAATTCTGTACCCACTAAATAACAACTCCCCATTCTCCCCTCCGCCTCCCCCTAGCATCTGCCACTCTACTTTCTGTCCCTTTGATTTTGACTACTCTGACGACCTCATGGGAGGAGAGTCATAGTCCTTGTTTTTCTGTGCCTGGCTTATTTCACTGAGCACACTGTCTTCCTGGTTCAACCATGTGGTAGCTTGAGTGAGAACTTCCTTCTTTTTTAAGGCTGAATGATTTCCCATTGTTTGGCTAGACGAATTGTGTTTGTCCATTCTTCCATCGATTGACACCTAGGTGGCTTCCACCATTTGCCTTCTGAGAATAACGCTGTTATGAACATGAGCACGGTCTGTGTTTTTAAAAGCAACACTCGCTGCTCCTTTCGCACACGGAACCGTTTCTGCTAACACACGCTCAAAAGTGTATGTCGAGTAAATACCACGTCACGTTCTGCTTGGCTCGGCCCAGTCTTTTCCTTTTAATGGCCTCTGAGTTCTATGCTCTGGGTTCTGACCTAGAACATGAGCCCTGGGCCACGGCAGCCGCAAGCCTGTTGTCTCTGATCTGCTGGTGTGCCAAGCCAGGAGCTCAGCACCGGCCCAGTGCATGTTCAAGCCATTTAATAAATAAATATACACAGGCTGGGCAGGTGGCATAGTGGTTAAGTTCATGTGCTGTGCTTCTGTGGCCGCGGGTTTGCTGGTTCAGATCCTGGGTGCCGACCTGCACACCACTCGTCAGTCATGCTGTGGCAGCATCCCACATAGAAGAACTAGAATGACCTACAACTAGGATATAAAACAATGTACTGGGGCTTTGGAGGGAAAATAAAAGAGGAAGATCGGCAACAGATGTTAGCTCAGGGCCAATCTTCTTCAGCAAAAAAACAAAGAAAGAAAATAATTATTAAAAATAATAATAATAAAAATAAATAAATATATCGCTTCCTAGGGCTGTTGTAACAACATACCACAAACTGGGTGTCTTAAAGCAATAGAAAATTATTCTCTTACAGTTCTGGAGGCTCAAAGCCAATCTTTGCCTATGTTACTATATGGTGTCCTCCCCTGGTGTCTGTGTGTCACTGTCATGTTTGCATAAGACGCCCCCTACTCCAGTATGACCTCATCTTAACTAATGATGTCTGTAAAGACCCTATTTCCAAATAATGGTGCATTCTGGCATAGTGGGGATTTCAACATATCTTCTGGGAGACACGATTTGACCCCACTGCAAACATGTACTATGTGCTCAATACTGTCTGGAGCAGTGGGCTATGAGACCTCTGTCTTTGGGGACACAAGTCGTTCCTGTCCTTCTGGGCTTCCTTTTTGTCCCCTCTGTCGAGGAGCAGGGGGAGGTCTTTGAAGGGCTCACCACCTTCTGCTTTGGACTTGCAACCCCGGTAAGGAAGTTAGTAAACATTTGTTGAATGACTTTGTGCCATTGCCTCGTGGCCGCGGGCCAGCTTCCACTTCGGCGCTTAGAAAATAGAAGCTGTTAACTTCCTCTTGCACCAGGAACAGAGGTGGGTGCTCCTGGTATGCCGATTAAACAGAACTAAATACACGAGCTCACACCACTGCACTCGGCTCCCGGCAGCCAGCCTGGGCCCGGTTGGGTCTCCCAGCAGGACCCCTCGGGGTGCAGAGCGGGGAGCTGATGTGGAGGGTGGCTGTGAGGATGCGTCTTCCAGATCTCCCCCGGCACCTACATCGTCTCCAGGATGTGCAGGACAAGACGAGCAGGAAGCCAGCGCTCAGCTCCCCAGCCGAGGGAACGAACGGGAGCTGTGATGGCCGCACAAGTTTTGTCGGGTCCCCCAAGTCTGCGAGCAATACCACATCTCTTCATTATTTTTTGTGAATCAACTTGACTTTGACTAAGAACAGGTCATCATCCCACAAAGCGGGCAAGAAATTCAGCGGGTGACCTCAATGTCAGAGGGAAGTGTCGATGTGGGATTTCTTTTGTATAATACCCAAATCCCGGTGCCATCACTTAGGGTCCCGGCAGGGGGTGGATCACTCACCGGGGGCAACGTGAGAGGTGTTTAATCGGGTGATTTACAAAGGGGTGGGTGGGGAGCAGGGAAACCAGTGAGAGATGGTACAGCTCCCAGGGACTAGCAACAAGGGGGAGCTGTCATGTCCCCAGGTCAGCAGGGGTGGATCTGGGACAATAAGTACCTCAGCTTCACTCTCCTTCCTCCTCTGATCTCTGGACTGTGAAACCACTGACCCAAGCCAACAGAATGCCATCGGGCGAGGGAGCCCCCAGATACTGTCTTAGTCACTTCATGCTGGTATAACCAAGATCCCACAGACTGGGTGGCTCAAACCACAGGAGTTTATTCCTCCCGCTTCTGCAGGCTGGGAAGTCCAGGATCAAGGTGCCCGCTGATTTGGTTCCTGGGAAGAGTCCCCTGCCTGGTCTGTGGACGGACAGCGGAGAGAGAAACCATCTCTCTCGTGTCTCGTTCTTCTAAGGGCACCAACCCCATTCATGAGGGCTCCGCTCTCCCGACCTAATTACCTCCCGCAGGCCGCACCTCCTAACACCATCACCCTGGGGATGAGGGCATCAACGGAGAGACCTGGGGGGGGACCCGTACACTCGGGCCATAGCAGACACCATCAGACAGCCTCCCGGGGCCCAGAACAGGGCGGAGAAAGCTGGAGAAGAGATCCGGAGAGGCGGCGGAAGGGACCTGGCGTACGGGTGTTCTGCTGAAATGGGGGGCAGGGTGTCCATCCACCTCTCTACTCTGACGCTGCTGCCCTTGACGCAGGGCCAGGACACGGGCCCGAGGTTCCCTCTACTTCTGGCTCGAGGCTCTCCAAAAATGATAATTTGGGGAAAGATCGTGGCTGACGGAAATCGTCCTGAGGAGGAGGGCTGGCCCCGAGCGGATGGAGGACAAGAGGGAAGAGGAGGAAAGCCAACTGGCCTGGACAGGGAGGCCTGGGCGCCTGTGGTCGTCAGCTTATGGGCTGAATTGTGTCCCCACAAAAGTTCATCTGTTGCAGTCCTAACCCCCATCACCTGAGAATGTGACTGCATTCGGAGACAGGATCTTTATAGATGGAATGAAATCCAAATGCAGTCATTCGGCGGGCCGTAACCCATCACGACTGGTGTCCTTATAAGAAGAGGAAATTCGGACACAGACGCGCACGGAGGGAAGACGTAAGCACGCAGGGAGAAGACGGTCATCTTCGAGCCAGGGAGGGAGGCCTGGAGCGGAGCCTCCCCTCAGCCATCGGAAGGAACCCACCCTGCCGACCCCTGGGTCTGCCTTCTGGCCTCCAGAAGCGTGAGAGGAGCAGTGCCTGTGGTTTGAGCCACCCCATCGGCTCTAGCCAACTCAGGCACCAGCCTCCAAGATGGCGCGCAACGATCCTGCCCTCCTGGTCTTCATACCCTTGTGCAGACCCCTCCGCACTGAATGAGGGCAGTTCTGTGTGGTTGGCTGGACATTACAGAAGTGATGTGTGGGACTAGCTGAGGCTAGACGGTAAAGGGTGTTGCCGTTTCCACCTTGGTCTCTTGGCTTTCTCTCTCTGGAGGAATCCAGCCGCCACGTTGTGAGGACACTCCAGTAGCCCCCCAGACACCCACATCCAGGGAACCTGACCAGGGGCCAAGAGCCAGCACCGACCTGCCAGCCATAGAAGTGGATCCCCCAGCCCCAGGCGAGCCCTTGGATGACTGTGGCCCGAGCTGACAGCTGACAGCAACCTCACTGGACGTCCCAAACAGAACCACCCAGCTAAGCCCCTCCAGAAGTCCTGACTCAGAGAAACTGTAAGAGATAATAAATTATCGTTGTCCCTTTTTTGAGGAAGATTAGTCCTACCATCTGCCACCAATCCTCCTCTTTTTGCTGAGGAAGACTGGCCCTGAGCTAACATCCGTGCCCATCTTCCTCTACTTTATATGTGGGATGCTACCACAACGTGGCTTGCCAAGGGGTGCCATGTCCACACCCGGGATCCAAACAGGTGAACCCCAGGCCGCCGAAGTGGAACGTGCGCACTTAACCGCTGCGCCACAGGGCCGGGCCCTTGTTGTCATTTTAAGCTACTAAGTTTTAGGGTACTGTGTTATGTAGCGACAGACAGCTAATACAGGACCTCCCTCCCCGTCCTCCCAGAGCCTCCTCCTGCTTTAACAGTCCCCTCCCCTCAACCCTGCACCATGGAGTCATCCAGCAAGGACTTTAGCAAGCAAATTGGGGCCCAAAATGGCCCTGGGGAGATACAATATTATTAACACATGAAAGGAAAGGTGCTCAACCTCAGAAGTATGCCGAGAAACGAGGATTCAAATAAATAAGACACTTGGAAAGGGTTTAAAACAGGAAAGACATGTGATTGAAATGTTTTCTAACCCAGTGCCCCTCAGTTCGGTGCAAATTTTAAATGAACATAAATGATTCTATGTTCAGATTTCCTTTTAATACCCAAAGGGGAGTATTATACCAATAAAAATAGTGGTATCTTCATACTTTAAAATACACTGAACAAGAAAACCAGGATTGTAATCAGTTCATCCAAGCTTTGTCCACACTGGGCTTTCTCAGAGCGGCTTTAGGGCCTGAGGGCACAGGCAGTGCCGAAGTGTGAGGTCATCTGTCCATACAGGTGACAGCTGACAGGGCGTTGGCTGGTCTCTGGGGCCCCTTGGGGTCAGCCGGCTGCTTCTATGACATGTGGCCTCTGGGCGTCTTTGCTGCTACAGGCCAAGGCGTGGCGCTGCGTCCTGCCGTCAGGGTGAGGCCCTCCCACCCCCGCCCCCAAATCAGGGGTCGGCCTCCCCACCAGGCATACCTCCCTGGGATTCATCCTTTCAAATCCTCGTTTCCCTCACATCCTTTCATGACAACGCCCCCTTAAACCCAAAGCCTGAATTCTTAGCTGCCCAAAACACCTCATTCCCCTTTACCTGAAGGCAGGGACGGCTTCATCGCCAAACTCTCCCAGGAGGGAAGAGCGAAATATTTGGACTCCGTGCTCCCCGAGCTGCAAAGGAGAGGGCAAAAATGCCTTTCCATCCTAAAGCAGTCCCAAAGTTCAGGGCCAACGCTTACTGCGTGTTCCCAAGGCACTAAATGAACTCTGAGTTCCCACGAGGAGCGGCCGAGGTAAGTTCCGTGTTATTGCTCATCTTTCAGGTGGCACACTAAGGCACAAAGAGGTTGTCACTTGTCTGAAGTCACCCAGCCAGGAAGCAGAGCAGCCTGGATTCAAACTGGGGTGTCGGATCCTGAGCCCGTGCGCTGCACCCCCCACACTGCCTGTGGGGCCGAGGGCGAGGGAGGAGCCCGCGCAGGGCTAAGGGCTGTTCCCTCCGGCCTGCCCCAGGTTGGCGGCAATGCCCACCCACTCTGGCAGGTAGGTCGCTTGTGGCCTGAAGATCATGCGGAAGGGGGAGCCGGGCAGGGTGAAGTTGGCCAGGTAGACGGTGTCCCCGCCCGTGAGGTAGGCGGCCCAGACCCCGAAGGTGCCCACGGTGATGACGGTGTGGTTGCACTGCACGAGCAGCGCAAAGTCCTTGGCAGGAGAGCCCTGACGGCCGTTGCCTGCGAACACCACGTCCCCGCGGGAGCTGTTGATGTTCTGCTGGCACCAGGACATGTCGTCGCTGGTGACCACGAAGACCGGGCTGCGGTGGCGGGCCCGGAACCAGTCCAGGGCCTGCCGCAGGTAGCCCCTGTCGGCCAGCACACCCTTCCACACCTGCGGCATGACGCGCACGTAGTCGCCCCGGCGCACGTGGACCCCCACAAAGGTGACCTGCTGGGCCCACTTGGCCTGCAGGGCTTGGAGAAATTTCTGGGCCTCCTCCCGCACGTGGTCGTGCAGCGTGAACTCCTGGAGGATCTCCTCGTGGAGGTGGTGGTAGAAGGTCCAGGAGCAGGGGTAGCCAGTGAGGCGCACGTAGTCCCCAGGAATGTGGCGGTACCGCTCCTCCATCCAGTCGTTCAGGTGGTAGTCCTGCCATGGGATCCTGCTGGCCGTGTCGCCATGCAGGACGGGGAGGGTGATCCTGAAGATGGGGGCCAGGGCGTTGTGCATCTGGGCCGGGATGTAGGCCGGCCGGCCGTTCATCTTGGCCAGCGCGTACAGGGTGGCGTACTCGCCCATCTGGTTCCCCAAGCGGCCTTTGGAGTTGATGGTGAACACGCCCCTCTGCGGCAGGTGTCCGGGGACCAGGACCACGTGGCCCGGGGAGGCCCAGAGGGTGGGCACCAGAGCCAGGCGCTGGTGGCAGTGGAAGATGGTGGACACCATGAAGATGACGACGAGGAAGTAGATGGTGGAGAAGGAAGGGCAAGTGGCCCAGAATCTCATGACGGCTGTGGGGAGGAGAGAGGACCTAAGTCAGGAGGGATGGCTGGGGGGACATGAGTCTCATTCACTTACCCCGCCCCCAAATCATTCATTCATTTACTCACTCAGCTCATCAAAGTGGGACCACTGGCCTCCACAGCGGAGGTCTGAGAGCATAGACCCTCGGCCCTTTCTGCCTGGGTCTGAATTCCAGCTCCACCCCTTATGAGCGCTGTGTAACTTTAGCCAAGTCACTTCACTTCTCTGAATCCCAGCTTCCTCACCTGTTAAACAGGGACGAACATGCTGACCCACTTGAAAGTGCCAACATCCGCCTGTATTTTACCTACACAAACAGCTGTTTCATGTGGCCCCAATCCAACAGAACTACCCCCCAGGTGTGCGCAAGGATTAAGCGAGGTGCCATTTTTAGGGCAGTGCCTCGCACACAGGAAGGGCTCTGTAAGCGTTGTAAAACAAACACTTCCAGAGTATTTGCTACGCGAGTCCTCGCCCCCGGGGGGTTCACAGTCTATCAAGGCGCCGCAGGGTGGTTGCTAAGAGCACAGACTCTGAGGCTAGTGCAGGCTCTGCCCGCTGCTGGCTGCGCAACGCTCAACACAGTCCTGAACTCCCTGGGCCTCAGTCTCCCCCTCCGAACGATGAGGTTAACCACAGTGCCCGCCCCACACGCCACTTGAAGCTGGAAGGACCCCGGGTCACCGCCAGTGGGCGTGGCGGACCCCAGCTGCCCTGGCTGTCAGACACGCCCCGCCCCAATCTGGGCGGGCCCGCGACCGCCTCGGCCAATCAAATGCGGCGGCGGTGACGTCACCCGGCTTCCAGCCCGCGACTTTGGGACTCTCTCTGCGCTGCCACATCAAGCTGTATAGTTTCAGCTTTTACATTTAGGTCTGTGATGAGGTTTTTGGTGGTTTTTTTTTGGTAACCGCTTTATCGAGATAATATCCAAATACCATACAACTCACCCACTTAAAGTGTACGATTCAATGGCTTTAAGTATATTCAGAGCTGGGCAACCATCACAGTTTTAGAGAGTTTTTATCACCCCAGAAAGCAAGCCTGCCCCCCTCAGCCATCCCCCTGCCCAGCTTCGCCTCCTCCCTGCTCCTCTCTCCAAGGATCTACTTCCTGCCTCGTGGACTTACCTGCTCTGTTTCATACAAATGAAATCATACCGCGTGTGGCTCTTTGTGGCCGCCTCTTTCCCTTAGTATCCTATTCTCAAGGCTCCTCCGCGCGGTAGCAAGGATCAGAACTTCGCTGACTTCTCTTCACGGCCAACCAGTGTTCCACGACATGGATATGCCTAGCTTTAGCAATGGGTTGTGTCCTCTTTTTGACTATTACGCAGGATGCTGCTACGAACACGCGTGTGCCGATTTCCGCGTGGCCCTAAGTTTCCCCCTCCCTCGGGCACTTGCGTGGGAGTGAAACTGCTGGGTCACGCCATCACTCTGTTTCACAGTTTCGGGAGCTGCCCACTGTTTTCCAAAACAGCGGCCTCATTCTCCTTCCCACCGGCAGCGTCGGAGGACTCGGATTTCTCCACAACGTGGCCCGCACTCGCTGCTGCCCGTCTGTTTGACCACAGTGGGTGTGCCGTGCGGGGGGCCCACACTTTGAACCACACCCAGACCACCCCAGCTCTGCCCTGACTCTGCTGGGCTCTGACTGGGCTCCAGGAGCCTCGGTTTCCCTGTTCTGTCATGGGACGGATAATGTCCTCTTCAGGGGCGGCTTTGTTTTGAGTCAGTCCCTCCTCCAGCTCTGACCTGGGCTCCCACAAACGGTCTTTTCCTCCCGGTCTCCAGTACATCCCGACCTGCTTTTTCCTCTCCCCTCCTTGTTCCCCCGACCAACCCCCTGGGGTTTCCCTGTGATCATTCCAGTGGCTCCAGCTCAAGAGTGCCCAGGTCCCTGCAGAGGCACTGAATTTCGTGGCCCCCACTCTTCCTCATCTGACCTGTCTCACGCACTCCAGGCTCCCCATCGCTTCCTTCGCCGGCCCCCTGAAATGTTGGGGTTCTGCGGGCCTTGCCTCAGCTCTCCTCCTACTACTATTAATCCTACCCCTTTGGGGCATTTGCACACTCGTGGGCCCTCCGGACAGGTCTCATGTTCCACATGGGTCCCAGCGAGGTCGGCTGGCTCCGACCACACGAGGCCTGAGCACGACATCACACTCCCTCCCCGCAGGTGCACAAGGAACGCCTCACTCGCTGTGTCAGCTTCCAAAAGCGAATCAGATCTGGCCCTGAGCCCCTGTTCTCGGTGGGCTGCTTGACAACTGTGTCACAATCCTTATCCTGCCACTTGCCCAGCTCAGGTCCCGCCTGGGGTCCTACACGGAGGAGGATGCAGGCTTCAGCCTCCAGCCAGCTTGCTGGCCCAGCCAGAGCCCTGGGCAGGTCCCAAAGCCGGAGCAGGCGACCTGTTGGGGACTATGGGGACTGGAGCCTCACTTACCGAGGAGGAGAAATCGGCTCAGGACAAAGTACCCACCACCCAGGGCCACCTCCCTCAGAAGGGCCCTGTGCGGGGTTTAACGCTCTGCTCTTGGTGTCTAGAAATCCTCAATAAACTTGAACAAGGGGCCCCATGTTTTCAGTTTCCCCGGGGCTCTGGGAATCGGGTCCTGCAGCCACCAGCTGTCTTTAAGTCTCAAGAGCGCCCTCTCCTGGCTTTTCATCAGCCTGAACAACTAAAAAGCAACGGAAGATAACGCTTGGAGGCTGACGCGTCTGGGGTTTGGTTCCCACCGCATGCTAGGCACCGGTCCCTGCGCTTACTATCCTGGTAGAGATTGGTGGCAAACCCTAACCTGAACTGAACTCATGTGGGGACAAGTCTGGCCTGAACCGATGTGTGGCTATTTGTAGACTTGACTCATCTGAGCGGGAATGCCCGTGTGTTTTGCTGCAGAAACAACGCTTGATTACGGGATGCTGCCCAGACCCTGCTGGGGGAGTTACATAATATCGGGTCTAGACTCCGACGACTGTGCCAATGCACCGGTTCTGAACCACGACTGCTCCAAAAAGTTTCAGATGCGAGACTGCAGGCCTGTCTTTGCTCGCTTAGCCCTCGTGATCTCCCATGAGGAAGGTACATTTGTACGCCCATTTAACAGAGCAGGCAACTAAGGCACAGAGGGGTTAAGAAACTTGCTTTAGGTCACACAGCTAGGAAAGAGGTGGCGCCCGGATTTGAACCCAGGCAGTGTGGTTGAGGAACCTCAATGAACCATCCTGGATTTTTCCTGAGGGAGAGCACCCAGAAACACACTCTCCATCCAGTTACAGGTGCAGTTTGACCTGCCCCATCTCGTGGGGCCTCTGTTATTTCTGGGTCACCAGGGGAGAGACAGAAGATCTCTGGAAGCCCAGGGCCATGGGTCCCACCCTGAGGAGTGCCCTCAGAGCTGTGCCCTGGGAGGTCCCTCCCTGGGGTGCTGCGAGGGTGAAGATGCCCAGTACTTGAGGAACCCCCCCCCACACACACAAAGTCTCCTTCCCAACTTGGTGGACTGGTTCCGCTCTGCTCTGGCTGCTCCTCCCTCTGCCCCTCCCCCCTCTATCCACCTGCAGGGGTCTAATGGCCTCTGGGGGCTCAGGCTAAGAACAAAAGTAACATTAGCTTCAGAAACTTCTTGTTGCCGGGTGGGAAGGCAAATAAAGTGAGACCTAAACCTCTTCCTGAACTTTCTGGGGTGGCCAAACTAGCCTTTGACATCTTCGCCTGGGTGGCTCCTGCCCCAGTGCCTGCGTGGCCTGCCCTCACCTCTTTCAAGTCACAGCCCCAATGTCCCCTCTTGACCCCGTCCCCCACATCCACTTCCCTTCTTGCTTTGGCTCCAAAGCCCGTAACCACTCAGTCCCTTTTTGGGGCGCTCTCTAAGAGCATGAGCCTGACCAGGCCGGGCTTTCTGTGTGCGCTCATGCGGCGTATCCAGCGGAGTGTCTGACACACAGCCGGAGCTCGGCGGGTACTTGCTGAGTTCGTGCCGTAAACACAGCACCACATCACCCTGTCACTCTCCGCCAGCCCCAGATCCGATATGCCCCCTTCTGATTTGGGGGTGTCTCCGCCCCCAATCCCTTTCCCTTGCAGTTAACTTCTCACAGCTGACTTTCAAATCCCACGTCTTTGTCCTGGCTCCCGTGGGGCTGGCCTCCCCACAGAGGCGCCTAAGGGCCGTCGGGACCAGAATCACGATTGCCCTGGCTGAGCCCTCCTGCCCCCAGGCAGGCTCCAGGCAGTGGGTCCCCAGGTCCCCGGCAGGATCGGGCCCATGCTGTGCCACAATCACAGTAGGGGGGGCCCACTCAAGGCCACAGCAGCAAATGTCTTGCCCCATCCTCCCGAGGCCCTTGCTTTTCTCGGCAGGAAGTGACCGGAAACGTTATTTTTCTAGTGGAAACCATTCAGGTATGTAACAGAGCTGACAGCAACACTTGCATGAAAATTTCATGACTGAGGCGTTGAGGCCTTGCAGGAAATTGGCTGTGGGGAAGGCTGGCTTAGACCTCTGTCCCCCTCGGGTCCCCGCTTTCTCCCTCCAGCCTCCAGCCGCTAGAACCACTGAGGTCTGAGGCACTCTCATCTTCTCCAGCTCCTTCCCCCCCATCTTAGAAAATAGCCCAAGTCTTTGGGTTTCCCGGTGGCTAGTCTGATCCTTCCAAAAGCCCCGATCTTTAGGGCTTAAAAGCGACTGACCTTAACGCTCGCTCGGTTAAAGCACAGCTGACAGAGGGTTCCGGAGGGGAGGAGGGGCCGGCTTGGGGTCATGCAGCCAGAGGCCAACGACCCACCTCAGCGTGAGCGGCCCTGACTGCCGCCCACCGGGCAGGTCAGCCACTTCCCAACCGCAGCCACCACGTGGTGGGGCTGAGCTGCGCCCGCCCTTCGGGAATGGGTGGGGCAGGGGGGTGAGTGGAGTGGGACCCCACACCCCGGAAGCCCATCTGGCTGCTGTCTCGTCCTACCTGCCTTGAGCCTCCTGGGCCAGCCTGCTCGGGGCTGTCCGGCTGTGGGTTCCCCAGGGGTGGTGGCTCTCAGGTCCCACAGAGTCCTGGGTGGCATGGCTGGCAGGGGTCCCTGCGGGGAGAGCGTGGCTGCCGTTGGCGAGGGGATTGGGGGGGGCGGGGGGAGCGGTGGTGGTGTTGGATTCTGCGGGCTCTGCTCTGAGCTCCCGCCCAGAACCCCCACTAGCCTGGGGCCTGAGAACAGCCACTCGTCGCTCACTCCCGAGAGCCCACACGGGCGCCAAGCTCCTGCGGAAGGGACGAGCACGCAAGGAACTAACTGCAGAGGACGCTCTCTTCTGGGCCCAGGTTTGGCCAATGTCAGGGGTGAAGGGCGGGGTGCATGCAAAAAAGCCAGGGAAAAGGAGTCTGGGTCCCAGATGGACCCCCACACCAAGCAGGCACGGGGGCCTGACTATGGGTCTGGTGTGAGTACAGCTAGACTCTGCTCCTTAAAGGGGGCTGGGGGTGGGCTGCGGTTCCCAGAAGGGTAGGAGCTGGGGGCCGTACATGTGGGTTCCCCAGCAGGCTGAGGCTGACTTTGGGATCCCCCAGGAACACTGGGGGACTCACAGCCTGGTTGCCCAAGGTGGTTAGGGCCAGAAAGCGAGACCTCCTGAACCACCTAGGCAAAAGGAGAGGTGGCAGATGGGGACGAGGTCCTTAACAAGGCTGGGGCCCAGGGCCGGGGCAAATGCCTGCCCGCAAGAGCACAAAATGGCGCCAGGCTCCTCGGGAGGGGCGGAGGGTGATGCCCGGCACCTGGGACAGGAGTAGGCGGTCTGCACAGGGCCATCGCGGTGGGGACACAGGGGCAGTGGTATCAGGCTAGGGGAGGATGTGAGCCCACCCGCACCCCCAGGAGCCTTACAGACTCCCAGCCGGGCCGCAAGCCCAGGTCCAGATTCAGAGCCAGGGGCCTGGGCAGTGGGGCGTGGGCAGTGGGGCGTGGGCAGTGGGGCCCAGAAAGGCTCCAAGGCCCCCAGATCTGAGCGAGTTCCTCCTTAGATGCTGCCAGCCCTGGAAGGAGAAAGCGGGGGGCACTTCAGCACCAAGTCCTTCCTAGCTCCTGCCATCCCAGGCGTCTGGACTTCTGACCCCACAGACGCCCTGGCATCTGGCCCTGCCCTGCCGGCTTCTCTCCTCCTTCAGCACCAGCCACCCCCAACATCTGTTCCCCAATCTGCTCTGGGGACCTCAGGGCGGGTGGCAAATGTGGGGGCTCTGATCCCAGACCCTGAGGCCGTGGCCAACAGGCGGGGAGCTGAGATTATTAGAATCCTCAGAGATCCAGGCACACGGTCCTCCACCCGGAGCCCTAAGGGGAACCCGGGCATCTGCTGTCCCCACCCCACGGGGCTTCTGCCCCCACTTCCCAGCACCAGAGCCCTCCAGGTTCCAGCCCCCAGGCATCCGTCCTGCTCCTCAGCACGGTTCTCGGGGCTTTGCACTTGGGTGGGAAAGGGTTAAGGGCGGGGGAGGCTGGGGTGGGTGGCAGGGAGGCTGGTTGTTTGGCGATAATCCCCCTCCGTGCCCTGGGTGTGGAGAACACAGTTAGGGCCCCACGTGGGAAAGGGCCTCGCTCTGATCCCCGCGGGCTGGGGCCTGGCCTCCCGCTTCTGATCCCCGCCGGCACGGGGCTTCCCCTCTGCTTCCCTCCCCTCCCGCCCTCCTGCCTGGCCAGGCCCAGGCCTGCTGGGCTGTCTGCTCTCCTCCTGCTCGCAGGTGTCTCTGAGCCCACCCGCCTGCCTGCCTGTCTGTCTGTCCCGGCCCCCCAGGCTCCCTGGCACCCAGTCCCCCGATTCCCTGTGGACTCTGGGTGCCGGGCGCTCTCCGTCTGGGTTTCCTGTCCTCTCTCCTTCTCTGCGCCTGGCCTCTCCCAGAGGCCTGTGTCTCCTCTCCCTCTGTCTTTGCTGTCTGTGCCTCCATCCCTCTCTCTATTTCTTTGTCTCCGAGTCTCTGTCTCGACATCCCCCTCCCCTGCCCAGCCCTGCCCCCGCCTGGTGCCCTCTCTCTCGGTTTCCCCATCTGCCCCCTCCCGCCCCCCGACACTGACAGATAGCTCTGGGGTGTTAAGCTGAGGATTAGTTCAGGCAAAATTCTCGATTTTGCTTGCGTTCTTTCCCCTGTGGGTTATGTAAACAGTAATTCTCCCCAGATGGAACTATTTTCCTCGCTTAGAAGCAGCCGGGGAGGGGGCTTGGGCAGGGCTGGAGGTGGAATGCTGGGGTTCCTCAGGGAGCCTGGCCTGGAGGGTGGAGGCTGACCATGAGGGCGGCTGGAGGCCCTCAGCCCGGCCACTCCTCTCCTCTGCAGGTACTGCCTCCGCTGGGACCATGCCTGTGACCTTTGCCCTCTTGCTCTTCCTGAGCCAGGCCACCGCGGACCCATGCTACCATCCGGGGGGCCAGCCCCGCTTCTGCCTCCCGCCAGTGACCCAGCTGGCTGGCATGGCGGCCTCCTGTCCCCAGGCCTGTGCCCTCTCCCCGGGGGCAGACCCTGGCCCCCGGGCCACCTGTAATGGCAGCCTGACCCTGGCCCTGGGTGGCCCCTTCCTCCTGACATCTATCAGCTTGCGCTTCTGCACCCCAGGACCCCCAGCTCTGGTCCTCTCTGCCTCCTGGGCCACGGGAGGTCCCTGGAGATCGCTGTGGCGCAGACCCGCCTGGCCTGGGGCCTTGGGGGGCCCTGAGAAGGTGACCTTCCGTGCCCCACCGGGCCCTAAGTCCAGTGTAGTGGCCAGTCACCTCCGCATGGAGTTCGGGGGCCGGGCAGGGCTGGCGGCAGCTGGAGTGAGAGGCCGCTGCCAGTGCCATGGCCACGCAGCCCGCTGTGCCGCCCGCGCCAGGCCCCCCCGCTGCCGCTGCCGCCACCACACCACCGGGCCGGGTTGCGAGAGCTGCCGCCCATCCCACCGCGACTGGCCCTGGCGGCCCGCCACGCCCTGGCACCCCCACCCTTGCCTGCGTGAGTCCTGGGCCCGCTCTGCCACCCTCCCCCACCAACCACCCAGCCCCGTGACTCCCCAGCAGCTGCTCCCCTGCCCTTCCCTCCTCCTCCCTCCCCCCACCCCCGACTGTGCTCCAGCCTGGCTCCCCTCGTCACCTCCCCCCTCCACCTCCAGACCTCCAGCTGCCCACTGCTCACTAGGGGGCCAGTCTCTCCACCATGATGATGCTATGTGAGCACCCAGCCCAGGGCCTGGCTCATTGCGGGTGCTCAGGTGATATTTAAGGAGAGGTTTTAGGGGAAAAGGGCGGCTGGACCGTTCCTGACTCATCAAATCAACCACATGCGGGATGTATTTATTCATTAAATACATATTTATCGGTCACCTACTATGCGCCAGGCAGGTATTGTCATCAGGCCCATTTCACAGATGAAGAGACTGAGGCTAGGGTTGGGAAGTCCCTTGCACAACGACACACAGCCAATAAGTGGCAGGGCCAGAATCGGGACTCAGGAAGCCAAGTTCTGGGGTCTTGGTTTGTCCCTGCCAAGTTCTCATGAGGTGCTGTCACACTAGGTGGTCTAGGGCAACAGACAGGAGCATGGCCACGACAGCCTGCCATGACAGACAAACTGCCTGGGCTCCAGTCCCAGCAACTTGCTTACTGGCTGTGTGACCTCGGGCAAGTGGCTTAACCTCTCTGTGCCTCTATTTCCTCATCAGTAAAGTGGGAACAGTAACAGCATTTCCTTTACAGGCTGTAGTGACAATTGAGTGAATATACAGAAAGTCCTTAGAATAAACAAGGTACCTGGCACGAAGGAAGAGCTTCTGGAGCCTCTGCCAGCGTTCCCACTCCCCACATGAGGAAGGGGAGTCCTAAGGGGATGCGGCACTTGCCCAAAGCCTCACTGCCAGCAGGGGGCAGCTCTGGGACTGGACTCCTTCCTGCAAGCTGCGCCACCCACTTGGCTGGACCATGGACCAGCCCTCCCCAAGCCCGCTCAACGACTCTCCCCCTCCACCAGGCTTCCAGAGTCTAGGCCCTTCCCCCTCCCTCCAGCAGCCCCTCCTCAGAGACAGCCTGTAGCCCTTCCAGAGGGTCTGAGTGTGTCACCAGGCCCTGGGAGGGCACTGCTCTCCACCAAGAGACACACACACACAGACACACACACACACACACACACACTCGACTTCCCTGGGCCTCCCTCTCTCCACCTCCCACGTCCTTTGTCTGCGCCCCTCCCCATCTCTTTCCTCCTGCAACATCAGGTGGACTCACAGATCATCCCACTGTCCTCGGCTCCCCACTCTGTCCTCATCCCCACTGGGAACTTCCCAGGAGGCCCCGTCCTCCCTGGCCCTCTGTCCCCGCTACCTCAGGGCATCTGTTCCCTCGATCCATTCCCACCAGCCAGATCTGATGCCCCCAAAGGGGAGTGAGGGAGGGGAGACTCACGTGGCCTGGTGGTGGGGCGGGGTTCCTGCTGGGCCTGGACAGGGACTGGGAGTCGGGGAGGCAGTCGCTCTGAGGATCACATCCCCCGGGGCTGCGCTGGGCGCTGCCCTCTGAACCTGGGTAAGAGACAGACAACGCTGTGGTGGAGAAGGGTCTGTGCAGACAGGCTGAGACTAACACCCGTGGCGGGGCCGCAGGCTTCACATGCATGGGCATCTGGACCCGTCCCCTGATCCGAGTTTTCCAGAGGGAAGTGAGGTGAAGTGGTCACTCAGGTCACAGACTCCACCCACTGTGAATCTGAAGAGCAATGCCCCCTCTAAGGCCCAAAAAACCCTGGAGAGAGGGACGGAGAGCCCCACTGGGGGGAGGAAACCCAGGCTGAGAGAGGGGGAGTCACTCACCAAGAACACACGACTGTCTCGGCTCCCTGACGTCCCCACTACCTCGGGGCCCTCCAGACCTGCCAGTACAGGCCTCGCAAACTTCTTGGAGTCAAAAACTCCTCAGATCTCTCCAAAGAGCGGTCCACGAACCCCTGCATCAGCATCCTACTCTGGGATGCTTGCCGGAAACACAGAGCCCTGGGCCCCAGAGAAGGCCTGGGCTGGTGCTGGAATCCGTTGATCTTTTGAAACATTTCCCCGGTAATTGCGATAAGGAGGAAGCTTTGAAAGCCACTGCCTGAGAAAACCTGATCACTGCTCCCCAGGAACACGTACATGCTCAGGAGGCCTCATGTGAGCCGGGTGAGAGGCGCTGGAGCGTGGGGGCTGAGAGCACGGACTCTGCAGCCAGAAGGGTTCCAACACTGCCTCTGACCACTCCTTCGCTGTGTTACCTTGGGCAGTTGACTTCAACTCTCTGAGCCTCAGTGTTCGTTTCTGTAAGATGGGGATGATGAGAGAACGGGCCTCACAGAGCGGCTGGGAGGATGAAACCCGCCACTCGGCACCTGGCACAGGGGAGCTCTAAACAGCAGGAACATGCTCTGCGTCAGGCCCTGGGTTAGGGGCTTTATATCCACGTGATTTCATTTAAACCTCATGAAGCAGACACTCTAAATGCCATTTGACAACAAGGGAAGCTGAGCTGCAGAAAGGAGAAGCCACATGCCCAAGGGAGGCGGTGGGATGCGTGCACACAGGGGTCTGACTCCACGGCCCACGCCTGGAGCCGTCACTTGTCTTTAAGGCCCGTGGTTTCACACACATATTCAGGAGGTCCATTGGTCCCCTCGGGTTTACCCAGCTCCGGTCCACTGCACCCATTTTAAAGAACACAATGAAGAGGTTCTGGGACCCAGGCTTCCCAGGGACCTGCAGGCAGTCTCTTTATGTTGTACCCACGCTGTATTTCCTTTCCATAGGGCGGTGGGAAGAAAGCTGGGGACAGGGAACAGAAAGCCCGGGACTGACATGCCCCTGCTCCATCTTGCTTCTAGCCTGCTCCTGCAACCAGCACGCCCGACGGTGCAGGTTCAACTCTGAGCTGTTCAGGCTGTCGGGGGGCCGGAGCGGGGGTGTTTGCGAGCGGTGCCGCCACCACACAGCGGGGCGGCACTGCCACTACTGCCAGCCGGGGTTCTGGAGGGATCCCAGCCAGCCCATCACCAGCCGCAAGGCCTGCAGGGGTGAGTGGAGGCTACAGCCCAGCCTAGGAGGAAAGGAGGCAGGACGGGACTCCTGGGGCTGAGGGAGGAGGGGCTGGGGCCTGGACCCCTGGGTCTGGGGGAGGAGGGGCTGGGGAATTGGGAGGGAGCCTCTGGGGTTCAGACACCCCAGATCCCCAGCTCCTCTCCTCATGTAGCCTGCCAGTGCCACCCTATTGGCGCAACAGGTGGCACCTGCAACCAGACCAGCGGGCAGTGCTCCTGCAAATTAGGGGTCACCGGCCTGACGTGCAACCGCTGTGGTCCTGGCTACCAGCAGAGCCGCTCCCCCAGGATGCCCTGCCAGCGTGAGTCCTGAGGGGCAGGGCCACAAGTCCTAAGTGGGGCGGGATGGAGACAGCCCAGATCTCCAGTGGGCAAAGGTGGGGAGAGCTGGGTCCCTGGGAGATGGGAGCTAGAAGCTGGAGGCTGGACTCTGGGTCCTTGGGCAGGTGGGGACTCAAATTCCAGGCTCCTCAGTCTTGGGGAGGAAGAGGCTGGGAGCCCAGACTCCTGGGTCTGAGGGAGGAGGGGCTGGGGCTGGACTCCGGGGTCTGAGGGAGGAGGGGCTGGGGCCTGGACTCCTGGGTCTGAGGGAGGAGGGGCTGGGGACCAGGACCCCAGGTTCTGAGGGAGGAGGATGCTTGCCCTCTTAAGGGAATAGACAGCTGGTATCTGGAATGCCTGGGTTCCTCTAGGGCTGGGGAGACTACGGCTGACTTTCTCCTTTGCTCTCTCATAGGAATCCCAGAGGCAACTACCACCCTTTCTACGACCCCTGGTGCTTATAGCTCTGGTAAGACAGGCTGGCGTGGAGATCTCCGGCAGCAAGAGGGATCGGGGATGGGCTGATTGGGCCCCCAGGTGGGGATACAGCGCTGGCCCATGGAGCCGCGACCAAAGGGTTTGGGCACCCCAGCCATCCATCAGGAGGGAATGCGGGGACGGGCAGGGGCAGAATGCTGTGGTCCAGGCCTCGGGAGCCCACTGCAGACAGCCTGACCCTCCCCAGACCCTCAGTGTCAAAACTACTGCAATATCTCGGACACCAGGGTACACATGAACCTTCGGAGGTACTGCCAGCAGGACTACGGTGAGTGCTGGGGAGAAAGAGGGCCGGCCGCTGCACAGGTGTTTGATGACTGCCTCCAGGCCACCTTCTCAGACCCTCAGTGTTCTGATCTGAAATGGGAAGGGATGCTGGACTCTTCAAGGGCCCTTCCTGATCCAGGACCTAATGGGATAGAAAACGAGTTGGGGGAAGGGGCAGTGGAGAGGGGAGTATTCACTACCTTCCTATGTCTTCTCTTCCCTCGTGTTCTTGGCCTGGCAGAGTTTCACCATCTCCTTCAGCCCAACATCCCTGAGGGAAGGAGGTGGCCTCCTGGGGATGAGAGGGGAGCTGGTTGAAGAGAATGGGTCCTTGCCCTGTTCTGCTACCTCAGACCCTCCCAGCCTCCCTTTGGGGTCCCAGATATCTGAGCCTTAGCCCCACTCCCACAGAGACTGACCCCACAATTCTCTAACTCATCAGTCTACACCAGCCCCATGACCCCAGGGCCTAGGACCTCAGGAAACTCAGCTCCCTTAGACACTTAGGAGTTCAGCCCAGCCCTTGAGTCTACACCAACCCCTCACTTCCCTCCATGGTAGAGGAGCCCAGACCTCGCCTCGCTGAGGATCCTCATCTGGCCATGAGCATCCTCAGACTTGGAAGGTGCAGCCTTCTCCCCCCACCTCCCACGAGATCTTCTGCCCCACAGACCCAGCTTGCTAGCCAGAGTCCTGCCCCCAACACGTCTCATCTCACCCCCTAGGAAAGTACATTTCTCTGAATCACCACTAGTATGACCTCAACCATCAGGTTCCAGGGACAGACCTCCTTCTAGGCCCTAAATTTATCCCAGAGCCCCTCCCCCAGCAATACCTCCCTTTCCAAGGGCTCCGCTCCTGATACCTTCTGACCCCGTTGCATTACAGACCCGGGACCTGCCTCTTCTGCTTGTTTCCAGCCCCACCCACTGTAGAGTCCCCCTAGCTCCCCACACCTTTAATTCCTGCATCCGCTGCTCCTACTGTGACCCCCAAAGTCCCCCACCTGGCATATCCCAGGCTCCTAGGTACTTCGCCCTGTCTGGCCTCCTCTCCTCTGGAGTAGCCCCACCCTTCCCAATCACAATTCTGGAACCCCGCCTCACGCTCCATAATCCTCGCCCTCCTTGCCTTGACCACGTCTTCTCCAGCAGGCTCCACCCCTCACGACACAAGGCCAGATCCCCAGACCTCTCCCCTCAAAGGTTCAAGGTCTCCTTCCCGACACGATCCCGGACGCCCCCTCCCCCGGATCCCAGGCCCCTCCCCACCAAGACTGACTCCAGGGACCCTGGGGGCCACCCCGCAACCCCCCGCCCAGGCCTGACATTTCCCCTCCCCGCAGTTCTCCGCGCGCAGGTGCTGGCGTCCGACGGGGCGGGCCCGGCGTGGCGGCGGCTGGCGGTGCGCGTGCTGGCCGTGTACAAGCAGCGGGCGCGGCCCGTGCGCAGCGGCGACCAGGACGCCTGGGTGCCCGGCGCCGACCTGACTTGCGGCTGCCTGCGCCTGCGGCCCGGCGTCGACTACCTGCTGCTGGGCAGCGCGGCAGGCGGCCCCGACCCCGCGCGCCTCGTCCTCGACCGCCACGGCCTCGCGCTGCCGTGGAGGCCGCGCTGGGCCCGGCCGCTGCGGCGGCTGCAGCAAGAGGAGCACGCCGGGGGCTGTCGCGGCCTCCGACCTCCGACCCCGAGCCCCGGGCCCGAGCACTAGCGCCCCAAGTGGGCGGCCTCGAGCCCCAACAAGGAACTTGGCAGCGACGGTGAGGGAAGCCTTCCGCCTCGACGGTGCGTCCCTTAGCGAGCCAATCAGACGCCGCGGAGCCCGTGACGTCACTGCGCGCGCGCCAGCGCCGTGCAGGCACGAGGGTCGCTTAACCCGAGGGGCAAACTGCGAGCAGGGCCTTTGGTCTGTGCTTGGGCCGTTTGGCCTGTGACCTATGCAGCTGGTCCCCTCAATAAAGTCTTAAATCTTGGAGAATTTCGTCTACAAACCCTCTGCTCTGTGCTGAGAGGGTCTCTGAGGAGCAGATAAAGAAGGCCCCGAGTAAATCTAGGGAGCCAAAATATGCCTACGCTCCGTGCCAGAACAGCCAATCCAATGAAAGAGCTGGTCTGACGTCACTGGGTTCTAGTCAGATTTGTGTTCCCCGATGATTGGCCAAAAGCCAGTGGGAGGGGAGGGTGGCTAGAAAAGGCGGGAAATACGTCCAAGGAAAGGAAAGAGGTGCCAGATTTCCAGAAAGTTCCGCATTGAGGAACTTTCTGTTCCTGATGGGCTCCAGGATGTTCTCTGAGAAAGGAATAAAGGGACTTTGAGGGAATATCTGAAGAGGGTTCTGACAGGTTTATCTGGTCTTGAAGCGCCCCCTAAAGCCTTTGCTGAGAGAACAGCCAATTGGGAACCACAGAGTAGTATGACATCACTTGGTGCTAAGCAGAATTCTATCCCCACCCAATAGGTGGGTACCTCCAAGCCAGAGGGGTGGGGCTTAGAAGGCAGGAAGCAGGACTTTCCTTGCTGCCCTGACCTCTGCCCCCTGCACCCACAGTCAACAACGCAATTTCAAGTTTGAGTGACCTTTGTAGGAGAGTCACTGGGGGAGTTCTCTGAGGGGGTCTCAGGAGCAGAGAGATGACTTAAGGTCCATTTGGGCCTAGACAGCAACGCTGTTCTTTCCTGAGAGAAAAGTGGGCAGCTCAGCCAATGGGAAGTCAGGATGGGCCATGACGTCATAGGGTATAGGCAGAGAGAATGAAGCCCCCCAGCAAACGTTTTGGGTACGCTCCTGATGAGACTGGAAAAGGCAGGAAATAGCCTCCAGGAGGTGACTGTTTGATCCCGAGCTGCCAATAATATCCTATAACTGGGGAAACTTGCCTTTGACCTAGAGCTGGGCCCAGGGTGGGGGCATCTTGGAAGCAAGAATTAGGAGTCTTGAAGAGATTTTCTAAGAAAAATTCTCTGTTCCATCAAAACGCTATATTCCTTATTTTTGCGCTTTTCATCCTCTCTTGAAGCCAATTCAATTGGCCATTCACTCCACCACTCCACCTTCAAATCCTGTGCATCAGCAAATCCTGTATACTCCAGCTACTAAATGTGATCATAATTCAACCGTTTTTTACCATTCCCACTGCTGCCACCTTGGATTATTACAGTAGTCTCCACACTGGTCTCCCCGCAACCCCCTTAGAGTCTTCTTCACATAGAAGTCAGGATGATAGCTTTAAAACCTAAATCGGATCATGTGACTACTGTGCTCCGAGGTTTTGAATAGCTTCCCATCTCCCTCAGGGTAAAATCCAAAGTTCTCGTCCTACTCTACAAGGCCCTTATGATCTACCCCCACCACATAACATCTCACCTCCTACAATCCCCCTTCATTCACACTTCTGCTGCCACACCGACCTTCTTGTTCCTTTAAAAACCAAGCACACTCTGTCTCAGGGCCTCTGCACTTGCCATTCCCTCTTCCTGGGACACACTTCCTCCTATAACAGCAAACTAGTTCCTGTATTTGTACATCGAGACCTTCCATTTCAGTAGTCAGGTTAGGCTAGCTCTGTTGGCTTGACACAATGAAAGTTGATTTCTTGTTCAGGTACATGTCCCATGCAAGTCAGGAAGGGGTGCTTTTCCACATAGTCATTCAAGAGTCTGGGTTGAGAGGTATCCACCATTTTATCACTGCACCAACTGCAACCCAGGGCATACTTTTTTTTTTTTTTTTGAGGAAGATTAGCCCTGAGCTAACTGCTACCAATCCTCCTCTTTTTGCTGAGAAAGATGGGCCCTGAGCTAACATCCATGCCCATCTTCCTCCACTTTATACTGGGACGCTTACCACAGCATAGCTTTTGCCACACCTGGGATCTGAACCGACCAACCCCAGGCTGCCAAGAAGCAGAACATGCAAACTTAACCACTGTGCCACCGGGCCAGCCCCCAGGGCATCCTTAATCAATGTGGCAAGGAGAGAGAGAGCAATGAATGGTCCCACACAAGAAATAAATGCTTTGGCCCAGGAACAACTCTGGCCCTTCCACTCACAGCTCATTGGTCAACATTGCTTACGTGGGTCCACCCAATTGCCTGAAGGTGAGGAAAAAGAATTCCCTTATGTGTCTGAAAAGAGAGGGGAACCAGTGTGTTGATTTTCTATTGCTACCACAACAAATTATCACAAACTCAGCAGCTGAAACAATGCAAATTTATTATCTCGCTGTTCTATAGGTCAAAAGCCCGACACGGGTTTTACTGGTAAAATCGAGGTGTCAACAAGGCTGCATTCCTTCTGGAAACTCTAGAGGAGAATGTCTCCTTTTCATTCCCAGCTTCTGGAGCCCACCCGCGTTCCTTGGGCCACGGCCCCTTCCTCCAGCTTCAAAGCAAACAATGGCAGGTCGAGTCTTTTCCACACTTCAGATTTCTCCTGCCCTCACATATTTTTCTCCTCACAGCTGGGAAATGTTCTCCGCTTTTAAAGACCCATGTGGGGGCTGGCCTGGTGGTGTACTGGTTAAAATTGTGCGCTCCACTTCAGTGGCCTGGGGTTTGCAGATTCAGATCCCAGGTGTGGACATATGCACTGCTCATCAAGCCATGCAGTAGTGGCATTCCACATGCAAAATAAGGAAGATGGGCACAGATGTTAACTCAGGGCTAATCTTCCTTAGCCAAAAAAAAAAAAAAAAGAGGAAGATTGGCAATGGAGGTTAGCTCAAGGGCCAATCTTCCTCACTAAAAAATAAAATAAAATAAAGACCTGTGTGATTAGATGGGGCTTACCCAGATAATGCAGAATAATCTTCCCATCTTAAGGTCCTTAACCTTAATCACGTCTGCAAAGTCCCTTTTGCCATGTAAGGTAACATATTCACTGGTTCCAAGAATTAGAGTGTCGACATCTTTGGGGGCCATTATTCTGCCTACCACAATGGGATATGGGTGAGCACTAGAATTTTCCACCACGTGGCTCTGCTCAAATTTCACAGCATCAGAGGGAACTTCCCTGATGATCCTAATTAAATAGTAGCTCCTTCGAATCTTTCTGTAATTAAGGATATAAATTAAAAAAAAAATATATATATATATATATATCTCACACCCTTGTGTAATAATATTCTTTTTCTCCAAGTAACAAGCAGACACAGTGCCATTGGAAAAGCATAAAGTGATAAGTAGATATTTCCATGAAATGGTGTGCATAATTTCTTTTTCTTCTTAGTTTCTATAATAAAGGGAAATTTTTTTAAAAAAGAAAATCAGGGAGACTTCATCAACTTTAGGATAATAATTCTTCTTGCTTTTAATCTGAGAATCTTAAAGAGCATTTCAAGCTAAGTTATTTAGAAAGACGACAGAGACATTACATTTGGCTTGGGTAAATATAGTGGTGCATTAAAATTAAACACTGGTTTTGGGCAGATTCTGTGATTCCAAAAAAAAAATCATCCTCATTCCTTTGTCCTGATTTTTCTTCTTAGCACTTATCACCACCTGACATATTAAATATTTGTCTTTTTGTTTACTGTTTCTGCGTCTTCCACGAGAACGTGAGCTCCATGGGAGCGAGGATTTGAGTTGTTCCTGGCTGTGTCCCCTGCATCTAGGAAAGTACATGACAAATAGTATATGCTCAATAAATACTTGTTGAAGGACTGATCAATGAATGGTCTACCTTGTAGCTCAACTGAACCTGGAGTGGTCCCTCAAGCATCTGTATTGTGAGGAGTCACAGTAAACCCCAAATAGCAGTGGCTTAAACAAGATAGAAGCATATTTCTCTCTTGCATAAAAGAGGTCTGGAGACAATCAAGCCATGGGAACCTTCTAGCTTCCTCTCTACCATTCTTAGGATGATCCTTGTCCTCATGGTCCAAGATGGCAGCTAGCGCTCCAGTCATCGTTATCTATATCCATGCAGCAGGATGGAGGAAGCAAAGAGAAAAGGCCAAAAGGCCCACGCAGCTGACTTGTAGGGATGTTTTCCAAAAGCTGCTACACAATCCCTCTGTTCTTATCTCATTGGCCGGAATTCAGTGATGTGACCACACCTAGCTTCAAGAGAGGGTGGAAATACAGTCTTTGATGCTGGGCTGTCTTGGATCCAGCTAAACGAGGTGTTTTGATATTAAGGAAAGAAAAAAGAAAGGATATTTGGGAAAATTAGCCCACGCGGCTTGATGCCAAGTCCTCAGCCAATCAGAACTCAGACTATTCCATGACATCATGAGTTGCTAGGAAGAGCAGCCTTCAGGCATTTCCGGGAAAAGAGGCTGAAATTGGAAGTGGCCGTGGTCTGGAGTGACTATCCATCCCACCTTCTGCTGCCCTGACCTTGGATTTCTATCTGTTTTGTTCATGCTGTAACCCCAGCCCCTAGGACATAATAGGCACTCAATAAACGTTTGTTGAATAAATGGGCGGATCCTATTATTATCCCCATTATATGGGTGAAGAAATTGAGGCCCCCAGGGGGACTCCGACTTGAGGTGACAGCAGAGGGATTCAGACTCAGGATGTGTTTGAGTTTGGCCAGAATTCTTTACCCTTTCTTCAGTGAAGAACTATGCTCAGAGAGGCGAGGCGTCTTTGCACCTGTCACACAGCAAGGAGCTGGCATGCAAGCTTAGTTCTCTAGAGCTGAGCTGTCCAATACAGTAGGCACTAGCCACACTGGGCCATTTAAATTTAAATAAATTACAATGAAATAAAATTTAAAGTTCAGTTGCTCAGTCACATCAGCCACCTTTCAAGGGGTTGGTGGCTACCATATTGAACGGAGCAGATACAGAACATCTCCAACATTGCAGAAAGTTCTATGGGATGGGACTGCTCCAGGGACCATTTTCATGATGAGCACGGACTCTGCAGCCAGACTGTTTGGGTTCAGATCCCTCTCTGTCCCTCAGTTTTCTCATTTGCCAAATGGGGATAATGTTAATGATAGCAAGTAACCCACAGGGCATGCGATGAGGATTAAATGAATTAACATCTGTATGTAATGGGTTTAGAAGAGCGCCTGGCAGAGTAAGAGCCATCTGAGTTTGTTGCTGCTCTTATTTAAATGCCCTGTGGCCACATTGCCCCAGCGGAGGAGAGCCCAGAAGGCAAGAACCAGATCAGGAGTTTGCTGGGCTCCCCGAGGGAGTGGGAGCTGAGAGCAGGGAGAGAGGGGTGGGGGTGGGGGGCAGCAGGGACTGTGGGAACCACCCAGGCCTGGGGAGTCCCAGCCCTGCTGCGTCCCACCCAGGGGCCGGGGAAGTGGGAGATGAAAGTGAGGAGCGGGGCAAGCCCCATATGTTTCTTATGACCCTAACTTTGTTCCCAGCCCCCGAGACTAACAGGCGTGAAATCCACATCTGGGACCCACCTCCCGCCTGGCCATTCC